AAGATATATTAAGATGATAAAAAAATATTTAAGAGAATTTTTTAAAAAATATATTTATGTTGTCGACTTCAAATAGTTGAGACTTACGATATTTTCGATTGGACGAATCGACTAACTAAACTATAAGTAATCATAATAACTTTTTTTTCTCTTGTAGTGCTCTTCTTTGTGGAAATCCATTCTTGCACTTGCAAAAGATGTCAGGTTTTGATAATTGAATAGTGTGTGGCATCAAATAATGGTCTATTCTTCCCTTTGGTGCCATTTTCCACAGCCTAGTCTTGTGCCACTCTTTGGAGTACATGTTAACAAGACTCTTCCACGCGCGTTGACCAACCACGAGTGCCAATTCCCGGCCTCTACTGCCACCATGGTGTGGTTGTTGCCATCGCCCCTCCCCCACTTCCCCTCGGTGTTGACGGGAGCCTTCCTCACTCCGTCGCTACACACACATCGTCTCCTCTCGGAGATATTTCCTGTGCCCATGAGCTTGACGGCCTCTCGGAATAATAGGGGCGGTAGTAACTCGGATTCAACAAAGTTGCTGTCTCCTTTTGCCTTCTCTGCAGCAATTGGCCTAAACGTCGATGCGAAGGTGGCTGTGATGGTCGTATTCCATGACTTTCTTCTTCTTGTTCTTCTTCTGGGTGATAGCAGATAAGATTTCTGATTTACCTAATTATACGAGGAAATCTCTCTATTCTGTCGAGGGAAATCTTCTATAACCATAATTTGTGAGATGATAGATATGTCCTTTAGATGCAAATGCTTCCACTGTATTCATTTTAGAAATGACAAAGGATAGAATAATATTTATGAATTTTACTATATTCATTTTGGAGTCTGATGAATTATTCCGATCTTCTATTTGTTCCAAATCTGACTATGGTATTTGTTTTTCAATTTCCTGATAATTACACTTGAGGAAAACATAGCATACATTTTTCTATCACAGTTTTGATTTTAAGATAAAATCTAATCCATGTTTGATGATACAAAATTAAGCTAGATGATAAGATCCACACTGATCATCATTTACAAAAAATCTCTCTGAGATAAAAAAAAATTATCATCCATGTTTGATGATACAAAATTAAGTTTGATGATAAGATCCAGACTAATCATCATCTATAAATATCTCAGATGTTGCACTAAACAATAGGAACAATAATAACTTTAGTCATGCCAAATAAGCATGGAATTCATGATGGCCCTTCAGCTGTTATCATCCAAAATCCATCTGCTCCCATCTATGATTGATGACAACTGGCCCAAGTTGGTGTGTTCCTTCATCAAGCAGCTTTGCTTCGATTAGAAGCTGAAATGAACACCACATACAAGAAGGGATCACATACAACTATTCTTTCCCTCGACCTCCACCTCCACCTCGACTCATTCTTAGCTACCATGGCAGTAACGTAGTGGCACTTGCGTTGCTAGCTGAGCTTGCCTCCAATTCATGCACACTTTATTGATCCTGCTTGTTTCCCAGCATTGAAGACCTTCACCCACTCTTTGAAGCAAAGCATATGGACAAGGATGAGGTGTTCATCACATTCCAACCACCACTGCGACTCTGAATCTGGTCCAGGTCGCATCCATTACTCCTCAATCCCCAGAGACAACGATGGAGACTAAATGTTGAGCCTGCTCAAAGCACATAGTCATGATGAGACTTGATCCCAAGGTTTTGCTATCAGCTGTCGTAAGCTCGCTGGCATCTTCTTAAATCAGACAGGAGACACGTAAATAAATCAGTGTGTTGTCTAAAAGAAGCAGAGTTTATTGAACTTGGATTCAGCAAGAAGAAATGACATAAAATGTATCTTCATGTCAATGAAAAGAAGAATATAATCAGATGCAGGACAAGCGAATAGCAAGAAATTTCTCCAACTTATCTAACATCACAAAATGTATAGTTAAAACCTTCATACCCTTCCTCACAAATGAAAATGTCTGTTCTTGGATAGTGATCATATCATAATTGCTAAGAAATATGTGAGGCCATCTTTGTTTGGACGACCTAAATGTGCAGCTTAATTTGTGGTGATAAAAATGCTAAAGTGCTAGCGATGGCACTTGAAAGGTAGGTAGTTGACTGAAGAAAGGTATATGATTGAAAGGTAGGTAGTTGACTGCAGAAAGGTATAAACATATAAACCAACTGGCTTAAAGTATTCATTCAACCTCACAGAACGTGGAGGATGCCTAGTAAAGCATGATCACCGGAAGCATGTTTGGATGTTGTCTTATCTGGTTAAGGTGGGATCTGAAAGCTTCTTAATATATGAGAAGGGATCCTCTAAACCATTGACATATGACTTCAGAACATGTTTGATAGGATTTCTTTCATATCTTATTGAGCCAACACATCAATTATCTATGAGTTCTTTTTCAAAGCCAATACCATCAGCTTCAGAATATTTCTATACAGAATAAGAAATGACGACAGTCCCTTGACTTTAACATTTTACCTGCTTCTTGAGGGAAAACCCAATCTCCCAACATGCTTCTTCTGAAGACAAAGATCAGACAGAGAATTCAAATTGAAGTTTTTGTATCTTGTTATTGAAACTTGAGAACAGAAACAACAGTAAACAAGGGCCAACTTTTCCTTGAACAAATAATCTCAGACATAATATTGATCTTATAGCTGCAATTTTAGCTAGAAAATTTGGGCTTTTACCAACAGGGTTTTTGTCAGTAAATTTAAGTTTGCTACAAAATATTTTCAATCTTCTTGTTTTTTTATTGATCTCCTCTCTCAAAGAGATTCCCAGTTAGAATCTAATTCTTTTCCCAATTTAGGAGGTTTGCAATAGGAAGGTACCATATTATTGATATTTTGTTTTCAGAAACAAGTTTATGATCACAACTTCACAGTTAACATTGAAGAAGAGGAGATCAGATTGATGACAGAATCACATAATGGTTTATATGATGACCTCAAAACCTGGTTGTCTGGATTTTTCTGATCAGTGATGCTGAATTTTTGGGAAATTGAGCATTCATACTCAAAAGTTTCATAAAATAAAAACCATTCAACAAAACAAAGAAGAATTCCAGGCAATGCCGATATTATTAGATATATTGAGGTCTACCATTTTTTTTTTTTGTCATTAGAATCACAAAAAGTGAACTAGGAGTTCTATATGCAGCTTTCCAAAAGCAGCATCTGAGCTATTCTTATATTATTTTTCTAGAGAAAACACATAATCCCAGGGCTCAGGAAAAAGAGATGATCCAAGTGGAAAATTAAAACAGATGATTATGGGTTACATGGGCTTCTGGGAAAACTGTATATTGGACTTTATAATGACACCCAAGAAGAAACTGTTGACACTTATCTCTGATGGACTTCCCATGAAGTCTACAACTTCATCTCTGATGCAATGGCTGTTTTATGATGGATAAATCTTCTTTACTTCTCTAAAAGGAAAAAAAGGTAAGTCGAACGAAAAGACACGACTCTGCTACCTGAGATGACTGTGTTCAACATTTTCGGTGCGGATACCAAACTCCATATCTTTGATAATCCAACAACAAACATGGCATGGCTATCCACCAAAAATTGGCAAGATTTGGCCTCCAATGAGATGATGATTAACTGAGGACCAAGAACAGTCCCACATTGGATTTTACCCACAACTTATATCAATGTCTAAATTACACACGTTAGTCTTGACTAGTCTAACTCTCAATCATTTAGTTAAAATCTCAATATGGCACGATAGTTAAAATGAAAAAAAGAAAATCTCAATATGGCGCCTATCGAATTTATCTTTCAAGTTGCAAGTGGACAATTTAAACTTAGTCTTGCAAAACACAATGATCCTAAAAGAGTGGCTTGGGACTTTGCCCGATGAGGTAACTTAGACCAAGAGTCAGGAAGATTAAATCGATGCCTAAGGATGGTTAACATAACCAGACAAAAATAAACTTAGTCAAAAAGGACACTTTGCAATTATATTGAGAAAAGCCTGCATCATCTAGTTTGCAAGCCCACACAAAAATATGGAGGAGGGTCTGAAGCTGAAGAGTGGTAGTTGATGGAGGAGGAGGTGGCAGAAGACAAAGTGTGTAATGTGGAGAGGGTCGAATGCCTTCGGTCCCAAGTCCGAAGATTTAGCTCACACTGCATCGTGTGACTTGATTGGAAACCAACTCCCTGTTGAAGACTTACTCTTGTAGGACCAATCAATTCCCTTCCCTCTACTCTTACAGGAGGCCGTGTTCTTGGATCTTGATCTTGATTCCATTGCTACAAGTTTATAGAAAGGTAGCATATCTATTTATATTAATGGTAATAAGGGGGAGGAGGAGGAGGAGACAAACCCGTGTATGTAAAATTTCGTAGCTCTTTCCTTTTTCCTTCCTTGCCTCCGGATCCGACCGCAATGGGCGTCGCCTCCGCGGCGACGAAGACGACTACGCGTGGGAGATCTGCAACGACGACGACGTCTGCCTCCTCGACCTCAGGGATCGGTACCGCGGCGAGCTGGAGCAGTAGGAGCGCCTGTCGTCCGGCTTGCTCATCCTCTCCCAGGTAAAGGATGGACGTGAAACCGGCAGAATTCGTCTGAATTTTCGAGATTTAGGGTAGGGGGACCGTGTGCTTCATGTGGAGGCCCAAGAGGCGGTTCTACGGAAGCAGTCGGCGGTCTGCGACCAGGCGGAGTCGCCGTGCGACAGCGAGGAGAAAGAAGAAAGCTTGGTGGAGTCTCTCATGGCGCTGATGATTTGGGGAAATCCTGTGTCTCCGATGGCGTCGTTATCAGATCGACTCCAGCGGGGATGCGTTCTCTCCGGTAAACTAAAAATCCTGTCAAGCTGCTCTGTGTCGATCGATAATTCCACTGTCGATGTTGAACTAAATTAAGATGTTACACATTCGAAGCTTCAATGGATGAACAGAACAACAAACCAAGCCAGATGATGATGATATTAAATCACACAAACAGGCTTACAACCAAACAGGAAAGGCATAAAGAGGATTATACTGTTGTATCAATGCAGTTGATGTTATTGCAAGATGACACCACCTGCAGATGCTGGGTGGTAGCTGCATGTACATTTCGGATCCCAGTAAACTGCTGAACATAACATGAAATGAACAGGAAGTTGGACCTGCTCTAGTAGTAGATCACTTCATCAAACATCAGGTTTAGCAACAGAGACTTCTGGCAGGAGCAGAAGCAGCACCAGACAGAGCTGGAGAGATATATTTAGAACTGTACAACAATACACAGCATACTGTTAACGACACCAAGCAGACACTTTTTCCACATAACCCCATCCACTTTGACTCGGTATATGCAGCATCAGATGATTTAAATGCACATCTAGAAATAATATGAATAATCCCTAGAAGTGACCACATCACATGCTATCGACTGCACACCCTTATTTTCTGAATAAAACAATAAAAAGAAATCAATTACGTGCCGCCGGTGGTCACACATTTGGAGGAAAGAACAAGTCAGTTGTTGTAGCACAATAGATGGCTCCAAAGGTTCATCCGCATGATAGCTGGGCTATTATGAGTAGGGATCTGGGACCAGGGAACAGCTCTGGTAACATTATACTTATATTTGCATCTTACTAACACTAACTTTTGAGCAGCATTTACGTAGAACATCACTGTGTTGCTCAGGAGGTAGTTCCTTCAAAATTTCTGCTATGGCAACACTATGCTTCTTTTCTAAATCATCGAGTTCCTTCTGCTGCTCAATCAACAAATGCTCTAATTTGTGCATGACGGACCGCACATCTTCGGACTCATTTGCAAGCAAAGTTTCATGTACATGTTGATCATTGCCTTTGTGCTGCTCAGAGTTGGCTGGGGCATGACACATCTGAGATCCAGCGCATGAAGCTGATTCTTCATTATCCTGGTTTAGCCTGTTACTGGAGGACCGGTTTCTGAAATTAGAAGATAACGGTGACAAACCAATATCCAGTCTATTGTCACCACTGTCGCTAAAATGTGGGGAATGTCTCTGTTGTTTGGCTGAAAAGCTGTCATTTGGGCAACGTTCTCTCTGGCCATCCTTGTTAAAAGAATCACCCTTCCCATTGTAAACCTCATCAGATATGTCTTCACTTCCATGCAGATCATCCAACTTGGAATATGAATTAGAACGTGCAGGAGATGATGGCAAGTCCACAGTAGTTGCCTTTGGAGAACCAGACCAATACTTGCGACCAGAAGGGAACCGTTCCAGTGTAAGACCGCCAGAAGGATAATCTGATTGATTGGGCAAAGCAGAAACTTCATCTACAGCTTCGGATGCATGGCTATTGCTATCTGAAACAGTATCATCATTGCTATTATTGTCAAAAGCATATCCCGGCATCCAATCTGGGACATATGCCTGTATCTCAGCATCTATCATTGCAGCAATGGTTGTGACATCTTGATCCGTAAGGTCCAATTCTGCCACCATTTCTGTGGCAACACTTACTGATGTGTCTGCTCCAATATCAAATGGGAAATAAATGTTGCGAAATTGACCTATTGCAAACAATTCAGCAACCGGAACATTGAGTTGAGAGTAATAATGAAGAAATGAGTAACTCACAAGTGAAGAAACTAGCATAGCCATAAACCTGTCGAATCAGCGATGCGGAGCTTCAAGGATATCGTGTTGAGGTCTTTGCGTTGACCTTCCACAGTGAAATCTCGACCAGTTGTAGCTGGTTCTTCATTGTCATAACTTGTTCTTGAATTGGAGTGGCCAACAAAATCTGCATTTGCAATATAAATTTATCGAAGAAAGAGAGCATAAAATCTCAGCTAATATCTCATAAACACCAATGGAAATGCTACAACCATGACGAAGCCAGTCCAATCTTTCTCTACCTGGCTGGCCTGGAGATGGTCTCAGGGAACCTATGCTGTCATTGTCCATATCTAGTCGGAGAAAAGGGTGTAATAATAATTCCCATGCAGGCAATCTCTCAGAAACGTTGGCAATGCATTTTTCAATAAACCTCCTGACTCCTGGATCCTTTACCTTAGCCAATGAAGCAGGTTTGATTCCCTACATGCCATATAATCCAACATATTAGACAGTTTAAAGCATAGAACCGCTTTGTAAAGCAGCTGACTTATGGCTTACATCAAGATTATGACATGCAACAAATGTAATCTTTTTTATGATTAATAAAATAAATTCCAGGCACACCAGACAACAAGGCCATATAATCTATCAAAAATAACTATGTTTAGACCAGTGAAATGCACAGGGATAAAGCCGTGTGGAACTTCCAAAGAATATAAGAGCCCAGGTCACACAGAAATTGCCCGGATATATGAATGACAAATGCTTCCATTCTTCTGTAGCACAAACAAAAACCTCCTGTGCTTGATGCATAAAGAAAAGTTCTATGTTGGCAACTTGGGAAAATATAAAATAATAATAATAAACTGAGAATGATCAAAACAATTAATCTTATACAGAACAGGTATAATGGGAAGTTAGCACTTTGTCAAGCATCATCATGTGCCCAAAAAAATCATCAAAAGTCAAAGAAAGTCGAAGAGCAGACCTAATACACGTCCCACCAATGTAACTTTTAGGGAGGGTCAACATATAAAGCCTTACACCTACAAGAGTCACTTTCATGGTTTGAACCTTTGACCACCTAGGTCATAGAGGAGCAACCTTCAACCAAAATGTGAATAACTCCATTTATATACAACATGATTCCAACTTACTCTATGATCTACCACCTTGGTGATAAACAAACAAAATGCAGAACTTAACAAAACATGACCAACTTAGTAATAGTGGTTCCATGCGGACGGGATCGAATGTAGACCAGAGAAAATAGCAAACATCCATCCATCAGTTGTTTACTCATCTTCTTAAATTTAGCATCATTATCAGCTAACACTTATAATATATAGCACTCATTAATCATATCAAACATGGTCTCCATAAGATCTTGCATTGATTATGTATCTTGAAACTGAATAGATACGTCAATGGATTTTCGAAAAATGACCCTTTTCTTATAATACACCAAAAAAATTAGATGATGCTCATCCTAATACATCCAAATCAGTTGTGGCATATAACAGTTACAACATACATGTCTCTCTGAAATTTTGAAGGACAACTGATATAAAGCAGTTACATTATCAAAAATGTATCGGTGCATCTATGGCATTGTGTGAGACTATGTATTAATACTCAAGTCGGCTGGTGCACAAGGCATCGGTACAACAACTCTTGCAGACAGATATACATGAAGACTAGAGATTCAATTCAATCAGATTCAGCCATGATCAGATTGACAAAAAAGGGTAACATCATCTGATCTGTTTACACAGCAGAGCTAACATGAAAATGGAGGCAAATAGCTGCTAAATAAGAGAGGAAGGGGAAAAAAACGAGAGAGAGTAGAGAACAAAGAGAAACATTCTAGAAATAATATTATACGCAAGAAGTTATTTTTTATACTCTATCAAAGACGATCAATTCCTTGTTGATCATGCTTCATGCGACTCCAATTCTCCTCGAGTTAGAAATTTATCTAATGAAGAAGGAAGTACAGTTGGTTGTTGTACCATTTCCTAATATTCCAAGTTGACTGTTATATTCTCGTGTTCGGCTCAAACTAGATGTAAGAGGCTATGGTTGTATACTAATACCCAAGGTTCAGAGAACCAACTGGACCGATCAAGATGTATCAGTTTTCACAAGTCCAAGCCATGACCAGTGCCAAGGATGGCAATTTCATCCATTCCCATTCTAACTAATGTTTACCACTAGGTACACTTATTTGTGCCAAGTGGACTGGTCAAATTATGACCAGTACATGTAGGTGCATCAGGCGACAAGCCTACAGTTTGGTACCGAAACTTGTAAACTCTTTTCTAATATGGGCTCTCTCTCTCTCTCTCTCTCTCTCTCTCTCTCTCTCTCTTCTTCTTCTTCTTCTTCTTCTTCTTCTTCTCTTGTCTCTCCTTCGCATCCACCGACATTGTAGCAGCGTCCTCTGCACCTGCCCCTGCCTATAAATTTGACTTGTTATCCGTTGCCTCCTCCTTGTGTTGATAGAGTCTACTCCTGCTCCTCTCATCACCACTGCCATCTCATTCATCCTCTAGTCGATGCTGTTTCCCTCTTCTCCCTGTGTTGCCACTTCCACCACCACCTCCCCCTCTGTGTATGTGTTATCCTCCTCCATCTTCGCCCCCGCCATTGCTTCCTCCTCTCTCTCTCTCTCTCTCTCTCTCTCTCTCTCTTCTCTAGAAGTTCTAACAGATACAATCTATACCAAGAATAGGTATGTTAAACCGAATTAGTACCATACCAATTAGAATGCCATCCGGCACTGGCACTAGATCAAGATTTGAAACCTTGCTACAACCTAGTACGAGTTGTACAAGGCTACAAACAAAGGCAACCAAATGACTGAACAAGCCCAATTCAACTTCAAAATTTTAAAAGCATACTCTGACCAATTGACCTGAGTAGACAGAAGAAGGACTAAAAGGAACCTTCCAAAAGATTGCCCAACTAAATTTAAGAAGTGTGTATCCAGATATAGGGTTTTCTTATACATCAAGCGAAAACTAGCATCAAATGCATGACCTTTTCATAGCCTTTAATTGCATTGGATGAAAAATATCATAAATCGTAAGTGTGAGATAACTCAACCATAAAAGCAAAGTGTCACTATTAGATGGATGAAGCCTTCCTAGTTGAATTTCTTGAAAAGCATGAGTGTACATGATGAGGACATTAACACTATTATATCTCTACCAACACTTCAGATTCCAGGAATACTAACAAGCCAAGTGTCAATCAATTGAATTCTTATGAAAAAAAAGGGGAGCAAATTTTTAGAATCCACTGCTTGATAGACTGACAAAGAAAAGGTAAACCAATAGTTGATATCCAGTAATCTCACCGAGGTCACTTTCTTGTATATTTGTGCTGCATTAGTGCATTCGATGTACGGATACTCGAAAGTCACCAACTCTAACAGACACATGCCAAATGCATATATATCAACAAGCTCATTATATTCTTCCTCGTAAAGTTCTGGAGCCATGAACTCAGGTGTCCCTACAACAACATAGTGAATGGTAATTCAACTTCCACAATCATTTGAAATCTAACATTCCATGTTTCCAACTAAGAGGAAGAAAGCATTCACCAATGACACTATGAGCTGAGTGAGCATGGCGAAGAATGGCTGCCAATCCTAGGTCACCTATCTTCACCTCCCCTTGGTTTCCATTTACAAATATGTTATCACATTTCAGGTCCCTATGGATAACTGGTGGATCATGGCTATGGAGGTAGTGAAGTCCACTCAAGATTTGCCTCGACCACTTCTTCAATGCCCTTACATCCACATGCTTGTGTTTTTTCCTATACCTAACACGACAAACAAGTGATTAAAAACAAATCATCTAGCAGTCTTGGCTAAACAAAAGGAATCTGGATGTTCTTCAAAAAGAGATTGAGTGATGAAAAAAGGACATACTGTCGCAATGTCCCGGAGGTGAAGACCTCAGTTATAAAGTTGATATTATTGTTCTTGTCGTCCAGCCACGAGTTGTAAAACTTGATAATGTTCTTGTGCTTCAGAGTCTGGAGCAACAGAACTTCCGAGCAGAGCCGGTCATAGTCATCGGCACTCCGCAATAAATCCGTCATCTTGACCTGATTCCAAGCAACCTCTATTCCTTCCAACTCATCAAAAGCCTTGTAGCTGAGAAATTACCCGCACGTCAAGGATTGCAATCAGCTCGAAAATGTTGTATCAAAGCTAGACAAACAACGCTACAATCAAAGAACAATACTTTACGCCTATATAACCGATGATTAAGGATACACAGTCTTGAAAGCGCCCTTCCCCAAGACCTCCCTGTACTGCAAAATCACACACAAAGACGTCGAAAGAGTAAGGTCTAAATCATCAAAGAATTTGCTCAATCTACACAAGAAAAACGACAGGCGAGGATTGCTATTGAGCGTGGGATTGCATAAAGAAAAGAGACGATCAAATACAAGGATGAGGGTTAATCGGCGAATTTGAGGGTTCATAAGAGCTAAGGATTGGGAGGACAGACCCGGCCGTAGCGTCCACTAGGATCCATCTCCACGAACTCGGTGTCCGGATCGTCCGGCTCCGGCTCCGGCGAGGAGTCTCCGGGCATCTCGCCGCGAATCTCCAACCCTCTCACGCACTGATCCTTCAAATGCTCCGAAATCGAACGGTTACATGACACAAAGAAAAGAGGAAATCGAATTGCTAGGGATTTGGGGAGATCGCAAGGATAAATATAGACGAGCGACGGAATGGTGTTCGACTCCGAGAGGTGACGGGAAATCGTGTTTCTGTTTTTGTTTTCGTTTCCATTTTCGTTATTGTTTTTGTTTCGTTATTCTTTCTCTCGCGCTTGACCGCAGGAAAACAAAAACAGGCGTCGCAAATATGTTGCCACCGATTTGGAAATTAAGACGGCATCGAACTAATATTTTGTGACGATTTGAGGTGGGAAAGATTTCGCAGAGCTTCTGGTGCTCTGCAGGTACAGTATAAGGTGCCTACTTCTGTACACGTGGCACTGTATTATTGGAAGAGGATATACTTTGAGGTGTGTCTACGTTATTTCAAATTAGATATCGATTTATTTAAAATTCCTCAAACGCTTCTATTGTTTTTATCACGACAATGAGTATTTAAAGCATTATTATTGATTAAAAAAATATATATTAATAATTAATTATCATCCGATAAATAACATCGTGTGGAACTATTGTGGATTATCTTCTATTTGTCCTCTCTTATTATCCTCTCCTATTTGTCCGCGTGAACAATGATCCGCTTGATAGGCCATTTGGGATTATCTTCCCCTATCATCCATGTAAAAAAAATATTATCATTATCTTCTTCTAATATCTAATATAAATGATACTCTTCGACATGATGTCTAAGATTTTTTTTTCGAAAAGTCCGATGTCCATTAAGTCATCGATAACTAATTTAAATATCATATGAGATTGGGATGAAAACTTCTCTCAACATCAATTTTGAATTCATCTTAAAGATTATAAATTTTCAAGTATATATATATATATATATATATATATATATATATATAATCATTGACTTGGGCTGGACGTAATATATATTTTCAACAATAGTGTAGTTTTGAATTAAATTCGCGTATGTACTTCCACCAATATGATATAAATGAAGAAAAATACGGAAGAAGAGCAACTGTAGGGAGAGTAGCACAAGATGGGAAGTGAATAGTGGTGGGGACGAAGGTGGCGTGGCAATGTGTGTGGTATATAATATGAGTCCGTCGCTTTCACGTGAACATTTGAAAGTTAGGTGAGAGCAACTCAGCAACCGAGGAAGGCTTATTTGCCACCGTGTCACACGAAAATGAGGGGGCCGCGTGGGTCTATTTCGGCTCGGATCGAACCGGGCGACCTGAGACGTCTGATTGTTTCGAATCGGTTCCCAAGTCGAACCGAAGCGTGGTCGGTCTCGTTCATTAATTGACCCCAGAAAATAACCAGTGATCTAATCTAATTCACATTAATCTTCTACTTGTGTATATTTTACCTTCATCCCTAACGATCGAACATTAACTTGGGATCATGAATTGGTGGGAATCATCTCTAACGATCGAACACACGTAGAGTTTCATTTATTAGTTAGGCAATCATCGAGACCTGCAAGAAGACCACATCAAACATGTCGACACACGTAGACTTCCGCTACAACCCTACCACCACTCGGCAAACCAGGAGACCCGTCGAAGAAGAGGATCCTATTCTTCTCTGTGCAAGGAGAACCATCCCTACTTCTTCGCCTTCCTCTTCTCGATCACGAAGAAGAAGGCGAGGGCGACGACGGAGAAGGCGGAGAAGCACGCCGCGGCTATGTCCAGCGACGCGTGCCGGCCCGTGATCCCCGCGATGTCGAACAGGTTGGTGGTCTTCTTGGGGTCGGTACTCTGCCCGTAGGCTACCTCCGTGTCGGAGGCGTCCAGCACGTAGGCCCGCACGAAGAAGGTCGCCGTGGGGATGTTGCGCTCCACGGTGTACGTGACGGTGCCGGTGGCCGCGTAGGGGCGGGTGGCCATCTTGAACTGGCACGTCTTGTCCTTCTTGAGGTGGTCATCCGTCTTGCGCCACCCGCGGTCGGTCTGGCTCACCGGAGCATAGCACAGGGTCACCTTCACCTTCTTGTATCCCGAGTCGGTCCCCGCCGGCAGGCTCTGGTTTAGCGCCCAAGTCACCGTGATCTCATCGACGCCGGCGTGCAACACTGCACGAACCACACAAACAATACAATCCCTCTTATCTATGTAATGGAAGAGCCACCGTGCTTAAAGACAAGGCACAAACCTTGGCCTGGACTCGGGGATGCTGTGACTCTGAGAGTCTGCGGAAGGGAGGAGAACAGCACCGCGGCGGACGGCCCGATATAACATAGGAGGACGAGGAGGGCTGCGGCTTGATTCGAGAGCAAAGCAGCCATGGTGTTTGTCTCTTGCTGGAGGAGGAGATGGAGGTCTTGTTTGCCCGATGGAGGGAGCGGTCTTCTTAAATAGTCTTCCTGAGCCAGTGTCCAAAGGGAAGCCAAAGGGTATCTCTCATCTCTGTTCTTTAGTCCAACGCAGAGGGACACTTCGGATCGTAGCGTGGACTTAAGAGGCCTTCTTGCATATTTTTCTTGCACGAGCTTGTCGTCTCGCTTTCCCCTTCTTCTCTCTGTGTCTCTATGTGGGGGCTCTTCATGGGGCCCAAAGGATGTCGGACTGGCTCCGTTCTTTCGTCCAAGAACAGAGATCGGGGATCTTGTGGGCATGCTGGCCTTCGGTATTGGCCAAAGGGTAAATGCGAGGAGCACAGTTGACTTCGCACCTTCAGGCCATGGCCGCGTTGACTTGCAGCCACTGTGCGTGTTATTTTATGCTGAAACAAATGATTCGTGGTCCGTTCTTTGACATTTTCCACACGAATCGGAGATGTTTGACGGAGAGGACCTCAAACTACCTCTTGGCGGAGATGTAGAGTTGCCAGCATGAGAGATTACAGGGTTCGAGCAGCCAAACAAAGCATCGATCTTCCTGAAACTATCATTGTCCGTGAACTCCAGATGCACAGAAGCTGTGTCTTGGACAACATCACTGTGGTGTTGCAGAGTTGCAGTAGATGGAGAAGATTCCACCGTGGTGTGGTGCCCTGTCTTGGGCACGAAGGTGGAGAAGACCCTGCAAAGATCCTTGGTGGTCCCATGGTTCATCAATCCTGAGGTCCTACAGTAATGGAGCTAGCAAGAAGATAGCATCGAAGCACAGGTGCTATCTGTGTCAGTCCTTTCCCTGTGCATAGACGAGACATTCTCATATGCGGTTGCCATGGGAACGTAGAAGACATGGCAGTTGACATGAAAGGAAGACGATTCTTGCATTTATGATCATATATTTGATGTAACAAAAATTATTGGGCAATTTTTTTTTATTTTATAAAATATGAGATTGTTCGTAATCCCAATCCTATTGATCATCTTCCTTGTGCCCCTAGCCTCCATCACATTGCGGTCGTTCAGTCTCCTTTATCTCATTTACATGTCTTGTTGCTTTATCTTTTATCCTCGTTCTCTATACTCCTTGTCTTTGATAGTATTAGCGAAATATTTGTAGAGCTAAGACGTTTCGATGAGATCTGATTACTTTAATAATCTATATTAAATTACTTATTGAAAGTAACAATGGAGACGAATTAAAAATTGGATGGCTTAAAGTCAAAGGAGAGGTTAGGGTTATGGTTACTATCAATGTCGGTGATGATGGTGATGTTAAAGGTGACAATAAATTTGTGTGAGCTTTTGTCTGAGGTTAAAAGTATGAAAAATCTAAAAATAAAACTATAAGTGTTGATAATACGGAGACGAACCACAATTTAAAGAGAAGTAATGAGGGAGTGATGACTAAATGAGTAGTCGATGCTTGGGATAGTCAAGGTTTCATGATGACAATAGTGAAACTTACATGAAAGGCACTTATGATCAAAGGTGATCTATGCAAAAGGGAGAAGGTAATGGGGGCGATCACAATAGGCCACAGGTTGATCGTTAAGCAATAATTTTATATTTTAAAAAAGTAAAAAGTGTTCTAATAAATTATGAATTTTTTTTGAGAAATTTGCACAAAAAAATTATCTGTTCGAACCAAGAAAATTAAAGATACTGAATTCCAGTCGCTGGTCTTTGTAAGCTTACATAAGCATGACGTCGTCCAACAACGATGTGACCGCCTTTCCCTGCCTATTAATAGTGATGTGTGTGTGCTTTTCTTGTGTACACACGGTTGGTCACCTCTATCGTTATTGGAAGAGGCATGGGGTCCTTCAACATCACAGCAATCGAGTGGACGGGTACGGAAGAAAAGCTGCGGAAGATTAACACCTTTTCCATCTCATCGTCACAAATCTGAGTCGGGGGAGGGTTGACGGTAGCGTACCCATGGCATTACGCGTGTGTGGGTCGTACCCCGAGACGCCATCCAGGAAAGGACACGGAGCGTTCTCCGTGGCTGTACCCTGTTTGGAAGGAGACAGCGTATCGGAACTCACAGTGGACACGGAGGTTCGGGCTAGTGGAAGTGGGTAGGGCCCACAGAAGCGCACGAAAGGGAGCAGCCATTGCCGACGTCCCGTTGAACTACCTAACCTTTGGTCAAAGAGTCAGCCGTTCCAACCACCGAAGACGGCTTTCCCCCTGTTGCTTCCTTCCGCCGTACCAACCCGTCCCTTTCCTCCATCTCCCTCTTCTTCTTCACCTTCCCTTATGCTGAACAACGCACGATAACAATAATATGAATCCATCGAACCTTTCTTCTTCCCCTTCGTTTGCTGTTGTTTATGCTTGTATTTGGGGACAGCACAGACAGCTGCCAATTTTTACTCCATTGTTGAATCCTTCTTCTTCTCTCTCTCTCTCTTGCACTCTGTCTTCTGATCTTAGTTAACGATGGCTTCCTTCCTGCCCCACTTGAGATAGGACGACCAAGAAGAGGTAAATCATACAAAATGGACGGCGAGGATCATCCCTCCTCCTCCGGTACGCCGCGCAAGTTCCTCCTCCGGTCCGCCACTTGGACGGCCCGCTCAAATTCTAATTCCAACCCTAACCCTAACCCTAATCCAAATTCTAATCGGCCCCCCAAACCTGGCCGCCTCGCCCTCCCCCCTCCCCCGCTCCTCGCCGCCTGGCCCCGCCCCGCCTCTGACGACTCCGGCCACTGGCCCGCCACGCCCTCCACCGCCGCTGCCCCGGCCGCGGACGATGGCGACGGCGACATCTCCCGCGTGGACGACCACGTCTACCTGGGCGGCGACGCGGCGGCCCGCGATCGCGCTGCTCTTCGTCGCAACGGCATTACCCACGTGCTCAACTGCGCCGGCGGCGCCTGCCCCGACCACTTCCGCGGCGAGCTGGCATACCGAACCCTGTGGCTCCGCGACTCCCCCGCCGAGGACCTCGCCTCCGTCCTCTACGACGCCTTCGACTTCCTCGAGCGCGCCCGCGTCGCCCCACGCGGCCGCGCGCTCGTCCACTGCCGTCGCGGCGCCTCCCGCTCCGCTGCCCTCGTCGTCGCCTACATCATGTGGCGCCGGGCGCTCCCTTTCGACGACGCCCTCCGCACCGTCCGCGCTGTGCGCCCCTCGGTGGATCCCAACCTCGGCTTCGCCGCCCAACTCCTCCGCTGTCAGCGCCGTGTCCACGCCCTCCCTCCGACACCCGGCTCGGCAGCCCTCCGCGCGTATCGCTTGGCCCCCCAGTCACCTTACGACCCCCTCTACCTCGTCCCTAAATCCGTCGACCTCAGCGCCACCTCCGGCACGGGATTCCTCGATTCTCGGGGCGCGTTCGTTGTCCATGTGCCCACCGCCATCTACGTCTGGCTCGGCCGCGACAGCTGTCCCGCCATGGCTGCCGCTGCCGCAACTGCCGCGCTCCAGGTCGTTCGCTACGAGCGCGCCGAGGGCCCTATCACCACCGTCCACGAGGGTTCCGAGCCTGCAGTCTTCTGGGCCGCCCTCACCGACGAGCCCCCATCCCCCGCCCCAGAAGGGCTTCTTGGGAACAGGACAGTGGAGCTATATGATCTCGACTACGACATCTTCCGCAGAGCCGCAGCGAGAGCCAGAGTGGCGCCGCCTCTCCCACTGCCGTGGGCAGGTGCCGGGAGAAGGCCCCCGGTGAAGGAGAATGGTTGGGGTCGCCTGAGGCGCAAGTTTGCAGAGAAGGGCTGGAAGGAGATCATAAAGGCGGTGGTGGAGACCAGGAGTTTTAACAACGACGAACCGCATGCAACGGATACAATTCGGTCCCCCGGGTCATTCTCGGTCGAATCAAGCGCCACACCATCATCCTCGTCGACGGACTCTGCTTCGATTCTGTCCACCTTCTCGCCAAACTCGTCATCGTCCTCAGATTGGTACAATTTATCACCACCAAGGTCAGAATTGCATAGGATGCCACAAACTGAGCTGAATTCAGAGTTGCAACCTATGGATTCTGGAAACGTGAAGGGAAAGGATTTGAGATCATTAGCTGAACGTAGGAGTAGCGATGCTCCTTCTTTGGTTCTATTACCATCAGTTGGTGATGCCGATGAAAGAGCCTCTCCAACAGATTTTGTAAGGGACTGGTGTCCATCTCCTCCTTTTATTTCTGAAGTGGAAGACGATCAAGAAACTTTTGATCTAGAGCGACGACTCTCATTGGGTGCTTCTGATCAGGGTGACGCTGCAGAAGATGAAGCTTCTTGTGCCGATGACCATAACCAAGCAATTCACCCTGTTCTTTTCCGGTGGCCAGATATGGAGAAAGTGGAAGATGTTCATCCTGGACTCCTTGACACCGAATCAGTGTTCTTGTTGTTGGCATCGGAATCAAAATCAGGTTCAAGAAAGCCAAGGACAAAAAAAATCTATGTGTGGCTAGGAAGAAATAGTGGGAAGGATATTAGCGGAGTCAAGGAAGAACATGAGCTTATGTATTTGGATAGGGTTAGCACAGAATTCTTCAATCACATGGGTATTCCGGTGGACACTCCTGTACAGGTACGTAATACTTTTGTCAACCTATTTGTGCTTTTTCCTTGATGTATATGCTGATTTGTAATACTATTCTGATTGCAAATCTGGACTTATTCATAAATTCTTTTTGGGAAATATCTGTCTTCCATGTTTTCAGAGAATTTGTCATTGATGAAATCTGTCGTTATTTTTTTATATGAGAATGTTTGTTATGCAAATAATATAGGATCTTACATGTGAACAAGGTGCACTGTCCTTGGAGATTCCATCTCATAATGCCCATCCTACTTATTTTTAACTAGGATTATTGAGGCATTTATCTGTTAGGCTAGTTTACTTGCTACGGAACAAACCATAATACTTGTTTATGATCGATTGGGAGAAGAAGATTATATCGTTAAACAAGCTAGAATCCAGCCTAGTACTTGTATTTAAATTCAAGGAGAGAGAAACATAACATTGCAATATTCTTCTAGATCCTAAACTTGTACCTTTTCGAATTCCATTTACACTTATTCTATCGACCAGGTATATTTTATTGACTCATAAAGTTGAGAATAGGAAGTTGTCTAGAAACTGTAACTTCTTATACTGGCAGTTCAATGGCGGAAAATAGTTCATGTAGCTAATCCCAAATAGTTGGGACGTTACGAAGGAACAAACTGTTAGAACTTAGCAATGTCATTTTGGTGTATATACAAGTAGCAGAGGTTAGATGCTGATGCAAGCTGCAACTGCCTGTGGGCTATTGAGTTCATAGTATATTCATATGCATTGTTAACTTTCTCTGTAGGAGAAGTTGCATGGATTCTCTCATGAAAGGTGAAGAATCATACCTTAAAATTTCTGTTACATGTCCGTAGGAAATCATGTATTTCAAAAGCTCATAACTTGTCTGGTTATGTATGACAAAGCTGAAACCATAGGGTTCAGCTTTTACCTGGATTTGTCAACGCACCTGGATTGGTTATTTTTTAGAAAATATTTGAAGAATTCTTTGGGAATAAATTGCCAAAGTAGTTTGCTTAGAGTTTGCATCTACTCTTCTTTTCTTCCTTCAACTTGTCCTTTTGCATCGATTTAGATATCGATTTAGTCAACTGTGTGGAAATTATATTAGATTCCTTGAGTTCCAAAAGTCTCATAATTTTTGTTTCACATTTCAATAATAGATATATGCAATATTGCTTTTCTGAAACCTTCTGTAAGGCAAATAATTAACAAAATTTTCCATCGTAAATTCCAAATTCTCTTCATGTTGTGCCATCTTTCCCTACATTGTGGTCTACTTCAATCAATTCATGAACTTTATCCTTTCGATCTTGGTGCTGTCCATAGGTAGCCATTCGCCGCACACAGAACCATGCTCCTGTTTCTGAATTCATGTGGTTGGTCTAAATAATTATCATGGAGGGATATCTATTTTACTTCTTATGAAGTAGTGGGCTGATCTCTCCATTATCTTACTGGAATTAGCAGGATATGAAATAGAACCTAGTAAACAAATATCCATCTTAGGATGTGTTTGCTTCCCTTAATCGAACTCTCTCTCCTCCATCAAAGATTACTGTTTTTGAGAAACTGTGACAAACTATAAATCCTAACCATACAACATTTGCCATAAATTTGGAAGATTGTCTGACATAACCCACTTTCCACTACTATCCTCCTTCAGAACAAAATTCACATATTAACTTGACAAAGTGAGATGGCTATTTATGTCTGTCGATTGATTTATGGCAGAGATAGTAGCTCGAGGGTCAATACATAGATAATTATGTAGTTCACAGTTTCCAATATGCAAAACATGGAAAAGGTGTTTAGGTGAAATTATAATTATAAAAAGTTGTGACAATTCTGCTATTGTTGTTGTTGTTGTTGTTGTTTTTTCTAATCTGTACAAAAGGAGTATTACTGTGGGAAACCATGTTGGCTCATTCAATGAATTCTTAGTTTCTTGCTTTGCTGGCCCTAGTTGTGGTGACTTGTCTGTTTCTATGTAAAGTCTTCTCTAGAGTAAAATATGTGATCAATCAGTCTAATATGCCATATCTTTTAAGGTAAAATCATTTGCTTGTGTGTAGTTTGTTGATCAAAAGCTAAATATATTTTTGTGTATCCAACAGATAATTAGAGAGGGCCAGGAGCCAGAGCAATTCCTGAATCACCTCTTCTCATTCCACCAAGCTACAGAACGCCATCCGAGCTGAAGACACTCAGAACAAGGAACGATGTGACGTTCCTTAGGACCACGGCCTATGCTCAAGCCCTGTTGGAGGACATGTACAGTGTTATGTGCTCACCCAATGTCACACTAAGTACATGGGCATAAGATCCTCAGCCGTCACCCAAGGTGTGAATGGAGCTGGACAGTAACAAGGCACAAAACCTTCAAGTAAAAGATCGATCTCCTGTTTTTTACTTGAGAATATAATCATGGTGGCAGGTTATTTCAAGAGATTTTACATTGGACAGAAGAAGCTTGCCAAACTACAGTGATCCTTTGCTGTAACTCTACCGCTGCGCTCGTCACTCATCCAAGCATATCAGGTGAAATCCCCGTACCTCCTCTGGCTTGTACATAACACTTGAATAGGCATAATTTGTGTTTTTCTTTTTCTTTTTTGTCCCTCGAAGGTGTTTGATGAGTAATAACAACATCACACGCCTTTTCCTGAAAGCTTAATGGTCACCTATCACGCGTCTTTCCAAGATTTTGGAAGGACGGAATGTGTGGGACAGCAAACTAGACCACAAAATAGAAAAGAGTAATCAAATAAACGATAAGAGACTTGAATCGTTCCTGTTGGTGATGGTTATCCATGAATCCTCCACATTGCTTATGTGGAAGAGGTCCTATCTAAAGAAGGTATGAGCTGGCCAAATCCGACTATATCACTTGAGAATAATGTCGGAGCACCGGATTTGACAGTTGTCGAACATCTGACCAGGAAAAAACTAGATTGCATTGGGTCGATGCCACCAGGTCTTGCGCTTCGTCGCTGCTGACGAGGCAACCTTATCCACCAGGTCATGTTCTAAATTTATATCCTCAAAATGGGAACAAATCCCTGCGTTCTTTTGCCTCTTATTTTGGCCAACCACTTTAATGGCAGCTATATTCAGATTCATGCCATCCATCTGGACCATCTCATCCTTCCTCTTCTCTCTTTATAAACACCCTTTTGACCAATCCCATCTCTCTCTCTCCTTCCCTCGTAAAAGCTCAGCTTGATAGGAAGTAACAAGAAGAGCTCTGTTGGTTGTTGCAGAGATGATTGCTTCTCCTGCTAATGCTGATGGCTTCCGGCGATGGCACGAGGCCGGAAACGATGATCACATCCCTCCCGCTGACGTTCGCATCGTCACGTCCGATGGGCAAAGCATCGCCGCGCATTCGAGCCTTCTGGTATTGCCTTCTCTCCGATGATACTGCCTACTCTCTCCGCGTGTGATTGTTCTCCCTCATCGTTATGAATGCATCCGTATAGGGTTCGGCTTCGCCGGTGTTGGAGCGGTTGTTATATCGTCCGCGTAAAACCTGGAACTCCGACAGGATCATCCACATCCTCGGCGTGCCACAAGATGCAGTGCTTGCCTTCGTTCGCTTCCTTCACTCTTCTTCGAGGTAAATTACTGGAACTTGGTCTCGCATTAGTCCGGATCTTGGCTCGAGCGCTGATGGATTGATGGTGGGTAGAACGGTGCTGACTTCAAGAGAGGCAGAGGAGGCGATGGGGAGGCACGGCGTGGCTCTGCTGGCGCTGTCGCACGCGTACCGGGTTCCGTGGCTGAAGCGGGGGTGTGAGGCCGCCGCCGCCGCCAGGGTGAGCGCCGAGAACGTGATGGACGTGTTGAAACTGGCGAGGATGTGCGATGCGTTGTGGCTGCGTCAGCGGTGCATGAGGCAGGTGGCGAAGGACTTTGCGGCGGTGCAGCAGACGGAGGGGTGGCGATTCGTTCAGAAGCATGACCCCGCACTCGAGCTCGAGATCCTCCAGTTCTTGGAGGAAGCCGACCAGGTTCGTGACCTGCACATGGACGCATGTAATCCTATCGGAAAGGCATTGCCCAGGAAACGTCTTGGACTCTATGCAGTTTCCGGCGAAGGATTAGTTCGAGTACTCATTCCCGATCCCGCATGAACATGCAGAGAAAGAAGCGATGGAGAAGAGAACGAGCGAACCAGGAGATGTACCAGATATTAGGCGAGGCAATGGATTGCCTGCAACACACATTCGCCGGCGGCTGCGCGGACGAGGCCTCGAGCGGGAAGAAGTCCCCGTGCAAGAGTCCTCTCACGTGCCAGAGACTGCAACACCTCCTCCGCCACTACGCCACCTGCGACAATAAGTTGGTCCCAAAGTGCTGCCCACATTGCACGAGAATGAGGCGGCTCTGCCGCCTCCACTCCTCCCTCTGCGATCAAACTGCATCCTGCAAAGTCCCTCTCTGCAAGTACGAACTCTCTCTCTCTCTCTCTCGTTTCATGGTCGCCGGAAGTTTTCAGCTCAACAAAGTTCGCCATTCCTCGTGACTCCTGCAGGCAGTTCAAATTGAAGGCGGAGAGAGATCAGGGAGAGGAGAAGACATGGGGACTCCTAGTCAAGAAGGTGGCAACTGCAAGAACCATGGCATCTTTGGCCAACAGGGAGAGGTCGGAGCTCGTGCAGAGGTCGCGGACAAGATACAGAGGCGCAAGATGACTTGGCCAACTAGTTTAAGCACAATGCCTTATTCTTTCTTTCATAGTTGTACACAACATTTGCTCCAATTATAATTGTCGTAGACAATATCGAGCGCTTGATTCCGCAGTAATGCATCGCTGTAGCCTCTGAAGACCCATTCTTTCTCCATCATTGCTTCTTCCGAAGCATCAAAAGATCAATTTTGAATAACAGTGCAACCTAATTCAGGGAAAGAAGATAAAAAAAGGGTTTTTTTAGGGTAGAAGAACGTACAAAGACGAGAAGACAACCCCTTGACGTCTGACATGACCTCCGGCGGAGCCCCTGGTCCTTGCAATTGATGGCCATAAGGGAGGGAGTGCGCCAGACGCCGGCTCTTAGAATCGAGCGCATCCAACCCGAGGTGGTTTGGAATTCGTTCCCCTTCCGGTCTTCCCTTGCGTCTCGTCGCCTGCTTCGGCACGGGGTGGTTAGGGTTTGCGGGCACAACTCCACCAGAGCCGTCCGTCCGTCCCACTTCTCGCCCCAACGTCATACTAATACTGCACTTCCAAACAAGCGAGCTCCGACGAGTTCGACCCGCGTCCAGTGGTCAAACCTACCCTCCGACGTGGGACCCACAAAGGCCCTGTCCGAACCCATCAGGCGAGCGGCATGAGTGGGCGCCGGCCCACGAAAGGTGAGTGTTCGGGTTTCGAGCATCGGGTAGATGAAGCCGTTAAAAGGAAATGAAAAGCCTTTCGGGGAGAGCAGAGGGTTCTGCGGGGGTTTTAGGCAGAAGAGACGTGAGCATTGGGCGAGAGAGACGATACCAAAAGGTTAGGGTTCCGACGGCCTTTACGAAGAAGCAAAAGCAAGGAAAAGCGAAGATTTGGGAAGGAGGAGGGCAAAAGATGGCTGGTGTCAAGAAGAATAGTGAGATCCGGAAGGACAGCGCAAGGCAGTGCTCTCCCGGGAAAAAGCTCTCCTTCTCCTCCTCTTCTTCTTTTCCTTCTTGTTCCGACCCGTCTTCTTTCTTTAAGATCATGCTCGGTAATTTCAGAGACTTCTTGGTATGCCTTCTATTCTCTTATTTTGTGGCATTTTTTTTCTTGTTCATACCTTTTATATCCTCATAGAGAATGTGCCATATCTCTGTTTGTCAAGTTTTTGGGATCAAGACCTCGCTTCTCTATAGTTGTGAGTTCTTGTGTTGTTTCTTCGGTTTATGGTACGCTTCTTTCAAGTGCTGTCTTTGCTTGGATTTAGTCATGGTAACTGGCAAGAGGATATTATATTGTGGGCAGCCTGTAACAGGTCTATTTTTAACCAGTAGATGATAATATATTTCATTAGGGAAACATCTAAGGATGTTTGCTTTCGATGCATTATTCTTCCTTTTTCACATGCAATACTTTTTGGGTACTATTATCTAATATCTTCTCTTAAACAATTGTATGTAGCTCATACCACCAAGATTCGCTGATAGATTAGTTGGCTTAGTCAATCAGAATGTATGTCTTGAAGATCTTCATGGAAGCTCTTCTAGTGTTAAAATATCTATGGTTGATGGTTCATTGGCTTTTAAAGGAGGATGGCGTGATTTTGTGTTGGATCATTCCATTGATGTTGGGGAGTTTTTGGTGTTCAAGCATGTCAGTAAATCATTGTTTTTTGTTCAAATGTTTGGAATCGATGCTTGTGAAAGGGTACAATTTGGCGAAAGAAACAGCAAACAATTATGCACAAAGAAGACTATTAAGGCAGATTTATCTCTTGAAAGGTCTCAGCTGCATAAAAGGCTCAAAACCTTTGAAGCATCGAAAGATGAATATTGTCCTGCTAAGAAAGATCTGCAGAAGATACATGATTCTTCTGTTAGAATTGCAGAAGGTGAATGTGTTGTTAAAGTTGTGGTAGAACCTGGTGGTGAACCTGAAAAAGCTCCTCAACATCACCATGATCCTGGAAGTCCACAGATTGCAGAGGTCAAGGACCTAACTGGACCACTGGTCAACATGATCAGTCGACAAGTTGTAGAGGAACCCCAAAAAGAAGCTTCTGTTGAACAATTCAAAACTTGTGTTGGAGTTTCTGTTGAACGATCCAAAACTGGGATTCATTTGGACAATATGTCGACATTCCCATTGGTTGAAAGAAACTTATTGGATCATGAAGATAGCCATGGCAAATCCCAAACTGCACCTACAGTTGCTTTCAGAAGTTCTGGGACCAACAAACGGAGTATTTGCTGTTTGGGCTCCCCACTGCCACTAAATGCAAATGAGAATTTTCTAGCAGGAGAACAGGAAGAAAACATAATCCAGAAGATAGGTTTGAACGGACACCAGACTCCTGGAGTTATGGGTGCAAACTTGGTTGCATCTGAGGAGGTTGCTTGCAAATTTCTTCTCACAGAGGAAGGCATATGCCACATTGTCAATGAAGATCAGAAGAACGGATGCGGTGCAGTTTCAGTAACCCCTGTTAGTTTAACTGCCACTGAAATTGGTACTTGCATAAGCTGCAATTACAGTGACACCATGTCTAAAGATGCCTTCTCTCATCTCGAAAGTGTTTGTGAAAATGGTCATGTGCCAGGCAATGGTATGCATGCATGCAGCAAGACCGTGCATGCATGTGAAGATAATGGTAAGTACTAATAGGCCAAAAGGGATTTGATTTCTTCATCATAGATTTTCAAAATTATCATAGGTGTTTCCGATGTTACTTTTGTGTGTCATCCTCATTCTCTTCCATATTTTCTACAGAGAATGAAAGAAAAATACTTTGCTTGTAGGAAATACCCCCAGCTTTTTATCCAGAAAAGAATTGTCTTCATCGGTTGGAAGTGTCGCACGTATACTACGGAATGTGCTTGGTACAAACACTGCTGTGGGAAATAAATTCCAATCTGGTGATTGTTATCCGGACTTCTCTTTTCTTTTTCTGTATTCAAACTTTCATATATGTCCAATGACAACAGTAATAGTTGAGTTGAAAATGTATGATAGTGCCTGATACCGTTCCAGTAGAGGACAAGGAGGAGAATGCTTTCTGCTTGAGAAGCCAAGATCTTAAAGCCGTTAAGATCGAAAACATGGATTTAGATAACCTGTCTTCGGCAACTCTTTTCTGCTTCAGCTTAACCTTATCATCCAACACTAGGTGCTTGCTTGTGAGTATTTCTCGTAACATCCTTAGCAAGCTTCACATTTATAGACAACTCACTGACATTTGGCTTAAGATGTGCATGATATTTGCTGGTGTAAATTTGAGCAGCAATTTAGATGAATGAGTTTGTCCTTCGGACTAGATTAGCTCAGTTTTAGTATAACATATGCAGATTTAAGTATTGTTGCGTAACATTAAAATATGAAAAATAAAAATCAGGTTTTAGTATAATCATCATTCGATTGAATTACAAATACTAACTAAAAGTTAAATCGATCAACAAATAATGTCATGTTGAGCATCTTTGCAATCAGCCTCTATAAGACAATTTCAAGTCCTTTGTTGCTTTATCATGCAGTTGATTATGATGGTAGCATCTCACCCATTCATATTTTAGCACGTCTGACATTGAATTTTGGTATTGCATCAGATTTACTGACTTGAGTTTGGCAAAATTCTTTTTTCATGCAATTTTGGATTCGTGACCTAAATGGTGATCAGCTTGTTGTCCTTGTGTTTTGGCACTGTTAGATTCCATCTGCCTTTTGTTTTGCCCATGAAAAACATGTCTCCTTGACACCTGTATCAAGGCAGGACCTGGATTCTGTGATTTTGAAACATTCTTTAATTTGATAACGTGTTTATCAAATTGGTGTGAATTTATTTCTTGAAATGAGTCGATTTACCAGTTGTGTGATGAATGTTATTATTCAAAATTCTGTTATTGACAGATCTTGCCTCTGTACTTCATATGAGGTTTCATTTTTCTTCTAGATCTTGCCATAGAAAATGGTCATCATAAAATTGGGTGAGAATTTGCTCTTAAAATTTTTTAAATAGTTGGCAGTGACTATCTACCGCTACAGAGTTTACCGATCATATTTGTTTCAAGTAAAAAAGAGCATGAGTTAAATTAATAAATTGACAAAAATTGCACATGATGTATTCTAGATGAGTCGCTGAAACATCTCTACTTGCCTATGTAGGCTGACTGCAGCTAGTTTTTTCTTAATTCCCTCAAGCAATCCATAGACCCTACATTAGCGGAAGCTTTGGATGACCCATTTTTCGATAACAATGGCAAAAATGTTACGACTCTTATACTGTATTTGCTTTTTACATACTCCATTTATATAACCTTCTTGATTGCTGTCTGTCTTGCTGAAAGATCACTTTTTGCTGGCCACATCTTTCCTCTGGATGTAAGTACTCTCTGTTAGGCTTTTTATGAAACCTTAGTCTTATTTATTCTCTTGCAATTAAGATAAAGGTTCTTTGGTTGGCTAGCATACATTACGATGTTATTTTCCCTCCAGAAATTACTATCAAGGATTGATCAATAAGTTTGTGGACACGGAATTAGTAAAATAGGAAAAATGACCAATGATGATAAGCAGGATTAATACGAGGATTGATAAATGTTTGAAGATAAAATTGCTTAAAGAGGACCAAAAGACATCATAGTAGGATTGGTTTGCTCGTTACACTTTTTAATGAATGAGATGCTGTTGTTATTGTTAGTCTTTAAATAATTGAAACATAATGTGCCCTTGTGTTTCTCATCTTGAACACTTGCAGGAGTTGCCCCAAAAGTTGCCAGTTAACAATGGCAAGAAAAGACAAAAAGTGATAATTCTCCTGGATCCATCCCACAGATCATGGCCTGTCATGTACCATGAGAGCACGTGGTTTATAGGCTTCACAAGTGGGTGGAATGAATTTGCTACAGTAAACAACCTTCAGCGGGGAAGTCTGTGCGAGTTCTTTGTGGTAGCTGGCAAGTTTGAGCCTACGTTTCAAGTTCAGATGAGTCAACATTAGATATCAAGAAGTTCAAGTAAATTCTAGTACTTGCATACATGACCCCATATGTGTCCTGAACATATGGGTTGTTTATACTAGCATTTTGGTCATAGTATTTGTTAGTGTCTTATGTTCACTCCTGTTTTGCTTACTCAACGGGTATTTTGAAAATGGATTACACCACCCAGCACAAAATGCAACATTTCTGGCACACTCAAACGAAATTACCAACCAAATATATTTGGTTATGTTTTGATATTTTCATCCGCCTGATTCTTGCAACTAAACAGAATGATGATCTGTGTATTTATCTGCAATCTTTCTGGAAAATCTTTCCAATGAGCAATATGAACCAACCATTGTGAATCCATAAAACTCAAGTTTATGGAGAATCACCCAAGTTCTGTGGGAATATATATGTAGGCCTTGAGATGTGGTGAACTTGCATTTGGTGGATGGATGAAGTTAAAACTAACATACTATCTCACACTGACTTTAGAGTTTTGTCTCTCAGGTTCTGCTATCTAAATGAATGGTGACAACTGGTGATGACAGATGAGGAGGATCCAATTATAAGCACAATGAGGATTTTAATAAGAAAACATTATGTGGATCATGGATTCTAGATAATGATGATGACTGCTGATGACGGATATGAATACGATGGCATAAGAGAGAGCATTTGGTGTCATTTGCTCTTATGACACAACAAACGAGATGAAGTTGTCGGATCTTAGATGTGTTTGTGTTACCACATGGATATGGTGTAGGATGTTGGAGTTGCAACGTGATCGAAGAACTTAATCCTCTCCTTCCAAGCTGGTGATCTAAGCAAGTTTTGTAGCGTCTCGCACACAGGCCATCCTCTCCTCAGCATATAAGTAAACCCCCTCACCCCACACCTTCAACGGCAGCTCTTCCCTCTCCTCGCGACCTGTGCTTTTTGAGCCGGTCAACATGCGCCTCCTCCTTTGTCTCTTGCTTGGCTACTCCTACTTCTGCATGCTTCTTCTTTACGGTCCTAGGTGATTCCACCGTAGCTGCATCGAGGACATGGGTCGACTCCAGGATTCAGTACCGTCCAGTTGGAGAAGAGATCCTTATCTCTCTCTCTCTCTCTCTCTCTCTCTATCGACTTTACGATTGTGCTTGTGGATGCTCGAGTTGGGTCATGTTTTGCGTCCACATGCAGCCGACATCACTGTAGAGATGAGTCAGTCTCCAACGGGTAGCTGTCTTCGCCTTACGTACACAGCTTGTGCTCTACTACTGTTGGTGGGAATCAATTGATTACCAACCTCCTCGTCCATATCCTCATACTCAAGAGATGATGATCCACCTGCTACGAATCATTCAGATACTACGTATAGGGAATGCATGCCCCCACAAAGTTAGGGTAACCTTGTATACTGTTAGCTTTTGGTATCAAGTGATTCTCATCGAGATGGTTGATCAGCTCGATTTGGTCTGACATCTGAGCCTCGACTTAGTGTGAGAGTCCCTCTTGAGGTGGTTAGAGATGCTTGACAGTGTAATTCCGACGAATCTTAGTGTCACTTATTTAAGGATAGTGGAATGAGAGAGGGTCTCTCGTTGATGTGCCTCGGGATCTCTAATCCCCGATAATTAGTAAAAATATTTTTTGAATCCAAAATATTTCTCACGAAATATTTTTTATAATTATTTATATGATAAACTCATATTATTATTGATAAGGTCATTTAGTCTCACATTCGTTGAGGAGTATAGAACCAAAGATTCATAAATTTGTCAGGTCTCCCTTAACCCTTAGAGACGTTTTTTTTTAAGTTTACATGCTCCGAAAGGATAAAACCGTACGGGTACGCTCATCGTCCAAAACGAACAATTTCTCACGAGCCTACGGGCCACATCAATGGTCGATCGACCAAATGATCCTTTATCAATTATATTTTATCCTGTTTTGTTCGATCAATGGTCACATGTGGAGTTTCTAATGTAGATCGATATTTTCCTATCATATATAACATTGATATGAACGAATGTGTGTATATAGGCACACCTATTATACCAAGTAAAAATGTATCATTTAACCTTTTTCTTTCAGGTAAGCTAGGTTGGGCTAACATATGTTGCTAACTTTTCCCCTCAAAGTGGTCAAACATTCATACTCATCACAGTGATGAGTGGAAGGAGAGTTAAACATGACTCATGTCATGCTGTGTCCCAACAAGCGATCCCTTCTTCTCCTTGGCAAGTCCCCTTTTTTTACCAATCAAAGCTCTTTTGACTTCATCATATATTTCGTTAATATTGCCACATGCTTTGAACTAAAGATGATAATTGCCTAAAATTGACCACAAAATTCGTTTTTTTTTCTTTATACCTTTTGTGTGTTTAGGGTTGAGATAGGGAGTCAAAAGAAGGTGGTCGGTATGTGAAAGATGGGCATAGACTTTGTCATCACGTCACACACATTTATAGGTGGTAACGAGTTTAGGTTTGGCCAGATTTGCAAATCCTAACCCTAGTCGAATCTCTTTTGTAGTGCTATTTTCTAGCTAATCCATGATCAATTGACTCTCCCAACCATCGCCCATCCAAACAAAAGAAAATATTAGCATCAAATTTCTTGATGCGAAAATAGTACTCTTCTTCGTGTTACTTTTAATTGTCTAACTTGTGCTCCCACTTTTGAGTGTCTAATGAGTTGTAACATTGCTTTCAATCATCTCAACAAGCTTTTTGACTTGAGATCTCTTATAATTAGAATATCCGAATTTACGATCGATACGAAAGTAAAATATTTAATAGTTAAAAAGTCGCTAATGGTACTCGAAGAGGTAATGTAGAAAAAAAATATTATTCGAATTCATCTATTTTGTTGAGACTTCCATTGACTCAAGTTTTATCTTAACAAAAATATTCACTATTATTACATATGCACTATAAAAATATAATAAACTATAAAATTATTATATTTATAATAAACTATAAAATTATTATTACATATGCAAATATAATAAACTATAAAAATATTCACTTATGAAACAGTGGTTAAATTATTAGATTTAATTCAAAAAAAATCTGAAATTTTTATAGTTTATTATATTTGCATATGATTATTATATTTATTATATTTACATATGCATACGAAACATATGAAACATATTATATTTATAAAAAAAAAATAAATATATATTATATGTTACCTTTCTGCGGTGCGTTAGTTCTCCGTACGTGTCTTTTGATGGATGTTGTTGCGTGACCGCCCACAAAAACGACGTTGATAGATACTCTAATTGGTGTTCGACGAATGGTCTGTTATCGGTCACAGCTGGCGTCCACGCCCCCGCTCGCTCGGTCCGTCTCAGAGATCACCAACATCGCCTTTTGACGTCGTGGTCTCTTTCTCCCCGTCCATGGTGTGAACTGATGAAGAAGAAGAAGAAGGAAATCCCATCAACAGCAGTCGTGGCTGGTTCAGTTCGGACGTCGAGAACACAAACCATGTGCGCTCGCGTCCTCGCGTCCTCTCCGCTACCAACCCACTCCACTCCCGCCCAACTGCGTCGCCATCTCCTTGCAGAGGCTCCATCCAACCGAGGCCGCAGACGTCGGCAGCGATGATGGCGAGCTGATGCCCGGGCTTGACCGTGGCCACCAGTTCCGCGGATGGGTGGAAAGTGGCGTCCGGAAAAGTATATGGCTCAGGAACAAAGCATGAAGCTTTGACCTTCTGTGCGAAGCGCACCAGAAAGCTCCAGTTTGGTTCTTCTGTATCTGAGGCATAAAACTAAGGGAAACAAAAGTCAAAATTAGATTCGATTTCTATAGCTTTTCTTGCACTGTTCCTATGTTTTAGTCGACATTTGTTTTCTTTGGATTGTAGGGATTAAAATAGGAGATCAGGATGAACAGGGTGCCCTGCTTTTGACTTCGCATTCAGATGAACAGATCATAGATTGGGAAGAGACATCATAAATGAATCATGTTAATTATTTCTGTCGCAACTTCTGCCATGAAAGATGCATCTGTTGCTGACTTGCTATCGACTCTGACCTATTTTGATGCAGATTTATCATTGATTTCGATACATGACAAGAAGGACAAGTCAAACGGCTGTGGCTGCATCCTCTGCGGTCTCGGAAGGTGCTTGATGGTCCTGTGTGGTATCCATCGTCCTCCTCGTCTTCGTCGCCCACCTGTAAACCCCCATCACGTAGTCGGACGCATGCAGCGCGACGTATGTCCCCATCCCGGCGATGATCCCGTACGCTATGGAGTAGGTCAGTGGCATCAGAATCATGGTGAGGAACGCCGGCACCGCCTCCTTGGTCTCCGACCACTCGATCTCCTTCACCATCTTCATCATCATCGCCCCCACCAGCACCAGCGACGGCCCGACCGCCCACGGCGGCACGTTCGTGAAGAGGGGCGCGAAGAACAGGGATACCAGGAACAAAAACGCGACGGTGATGGCCGTGAGCCCGGTGCGGCCGCCCTCCCTCAGCCCCGCGGTCGACTCGAGGTACGTGGTGACCGTCGTGGTGCCCAGAGCCGACCCCACGATGGTGGCGCTGGCGTCCACGATGAACGCGCGGTACTCCCCCTCGAAGCCGCCGGTGTCGTCGGTGAACCCCCCGTACTCCGCCATCGAGTACATCGATCCGGTCGTGTCGAGGACGTCGACGTAGAGGAGCGTGATGACGGCCACCCACACCTCGCTCCTGTTGAAGCCGCTGAAGCTGATCCTCCCGGCCGTGCTCTTGATGATGTGGAAGTCCACCACCTTCTTGAAGTAGTCGTAGCTCAAGTTCCCCGGCGGTGTGTCGGGGAAGACCGTGACGCTGGTGCCTCTGATCCAAGACACCAACGTCACGAACACGACACCATAGATCATGCTGCCCTTGACGTCCCACGACAGGCAGGCCGCCATGATGAGGAAGCCCACCGCACCGAGCCAGAACGTGGGGCTGTGCATGGTGCCGCTGAGGCACTCCCCGGTGGCCGCGTCCGTCTCGGCGCACGCCGCGAGCGTGACCAACGTCGACGAGCTCGGCCCGACGAGGCCGACGCCCTCGCGCGCTTGCAGACCGGTGAAGGCGAGGAAGAGGCCGATGCCCGCGGCCGACGCGAGGCGGACGGAGCGCGGGATCAGGCGGGCTAGCTTGGAACGGAGGCCGAGCACCGACAACGCAAGGAACAGGCAGCCCTCGAGCATGACGGCAGCGAGGGCCGTCTCGTACGGAAGGCGGCCGGATCCGTGGAACCCTACCATGTTGTAGGCGAAGTAAGCGTTGGCGCCCATGCCGGGGGCTAAAGCCAGCGGCAGGTTGGCGAAGGAGCCCATGGCGAAGCTGCCGACCATGGCCGCGACGGCCGTGGCGATGACTAGGTCGTTCTTCGTCCTCGACAGGCAGCTCTGGTAGCCCGGGTTCGCGTCAACCTTGCACCCGGGACCAGCCGGCGGCGTGCAGTCTTGAACCGTGCACGGCCCGCCGGAGTCGGTCAGGATTGCGGCGTTGACGGAGATGATGTAGACCATGGTGAGGAAGGTGGCGGCACCGGCGCGGAGCTCTTTGGTGAACGAGCTCTTGCGAGCTTCGAGCTTGAAGTATCTGCCGATGGTGCTATGGGCGACGGCGCGGTTGAGGGCGCCCTCCGCTCGACGCCACGAGCCTTCTCCTCCCATGCTCGCCTCCCCTCTTCGAATTGCTCTGCTCCTTCGGTGCCCGTCTTATATAGAACACGGTGATGTGCTTTCGATGCAGAACGCCGCAGACCACCTTTGACTGGGATTTGGTCGGCTAAGATCTGTCCATACACATGGCGGCATCACCGTTCACATGACCGAGTTAAATCTAACCCAACAATCTTGGTTTAGCCCAATCCAGATTGAAACCCCGGTCCAGCATCAAGCCGGTCCAAGGCCCATGCCCGACCCTCAATGGGCTTCGTTAACGTAAGCGAGCCGGTGGAGTTATATATACCGAACCCAGCAGAGCGACGCCAGAAGGAGGAGATCGAGGGAACCAGCAGAAGGAAGAAGAAGAAAGAGAGGCGAAACGAGGGGGAAATGGAGGCGCAACAGGGCACTCAGGAGCTGCACCTCGCGCTCGCCCACAAGCTCTTCCTCCTCTCCCACCCCGACATCGACGACATCGAGAAGGTCCGCCTCCGCGATGAGGTCCTCGATGCCGTCAAAACCGACGGTAACGACCACGTTTGCGATGAAAGATCTTCCTATTCCTTATCCTAGCTTGTTTCCTTGCCCTCTGTCTTCCGTTCGCGGCCGTGACGTCCTCGCCTTCTTTTTGCCCCAACAGACATGTCCTCCCTGTACGAAACCCTGGCCGCCGCCTCGGTGCTGGAGATGGACGCCACGGTTCTTGATTCCATGAGGAGGAGGATCGACAACGAGCTCAAGAAGCTCGATGACAAGTGAGATCCCCGTTCTTTTGCTTTCTCTATAGTTTCATGTGCTTATTTTAAGCTTTGGATGTTTGACACAAATGTAGTGTTTGATAAGCCGGCGCAATTAAATCTCAAATATGTCCTAACATGCAGTATCAGTAGTTCTTATATTTGATCCTTGAGATCCCTCTAGCAAGATTTTGTGATGCATAAGGAGATCAAGTTTTATTTCTGTGTAGGTTTATCTTTTGTATCACAAGTAATTTGTTGGGTTCTAAGTCACCGAAATAGCACCTCTAATTGTAAGAGTAAGACCATGCGTGTTGGCAGGCCTTTTCGTCACAAGTGATCTATGCATTACCTTCAAATCTGTGCTAAGGAAAGGGGTTCCTCTGAATTCTATTAAGATTTGAAAATGAAGATATGTCAAAAAGTAAAACTGAAGCATGAGTAAGTCCATTACTTAACAGAATAGATATTAAGGATATATCAAGCCAAGCCGAGCGAAGAATCTAAGTATTCACGTCACTTGAGGCCACGCCTAGCATGTCAAAAGGAGAAATTTGTCACCAGGGATTCATTGTATCATCATTCAAAATCATTTTTGGTTTCACAAGATCTTATGCTGTGATATTTTGTGTCTGGAGACAGTGTGACACGCTCTTAGGTGTCTTCTCAGAGCACGTTGCAAGAGAGGTATTAATTCCTGATTTGCCAAGGGAATTGGCGTGACGCTTGGGCTATGTTGGATCATGAGTCTGGTTGTACCGACTAAATATTTTTTTAAAAAAAGCCCATTTAAAGATCAAGTGCTGCACAACCAAGCTTGCTCTTAAATGAGATGCTTCAGGCTCTTTGCCAGACCAGGTGAAACAGGTTGATGATTTTGTCTTGTGATCGATGATTATTTTCATGAAACATCTTCTTTCTTCTTGTATTATTGCAAGTGAGCTATGTGAAGATGATAAAATTTTGCTAGCAATGAGTGAACGAACAATGCACAATGAAAATCCTGACCAACTGATGTTCATTGAAACACATTGCCTACACAAGCTATGCATTCCATATCTCGGATCCTATATACGTGAATGCCAAATGTTTATTGTTTGAAAAAGAAAATGAATGAAAAGGGAGAGAATATTAACAAATATAGATTGCACCATAAGAATGTCAAATGACCAGATCCAAGTTGAATGCATATTTGAATTTTAATGTCTACGGTGATGGCATAATCTATAAGAATCTTGTGCATAGTTGCTGTTGTAGTAACTGGAGGACATATATGGTGTTGTAAGATACCAGATGTGTGTGTGTGTGTGTGTGTATGTATACATACATAAATATAAATATAAATATATATATACTGTAATTTTTTAATGCAATTGTTTTTTTTAATTAGCTTAGCTACATGGTGTGTGGGGTCTTGACAATTTGCACTGATATTCTCTGTTACATGATTATATAGTATTCTCATAATAAATTTTGGTCCTACCAAATTCATCAATTATGATATAACATGACAGTTACATTTTGCTTTTAATTCAATAAAGGATTGCTGATGCTGAAGAAAACCTTGGAGAAAGTGAAGTACGTGAAGCTCACTTAGCTAAGTCCCTGTTCTACATTCAGATTGGCGACAAGGTATTCATGGCTTTAAATTTTTGTGGTTCATTGTGATACTGAGTGTTATGGTTGTACTAAAGATATTTTGTTCATCTTTTCAAATACAGGATAAGGCATTAGAGCAGCTCAAAACAACTGAAGGAAAAACTGTTGCTGTTGGTCAAAAGATGGATCTGGTCTTCTATACATTACAACTTGGTTTATTCTACATGGACTTTGATCTTATTTCCAAGTCCATTGACAAGGCTAAGAAGTAAGTTGTGGATTTTCTAGTGCTAGAATATATCCATTTTGCAATTTCTGGGAGACTTGTGCTAAATCAATTTCATATTTACACAATTTTAACAGTTTATTTGAGGAAGGTGGTGATTGGGAGAGAAAGAACCGGTTAAAAGTATATGAAGGTTTATATTGCATGGCCACCAGAAACTTTAAGAAGGCAGCCAATTTGTTTTTGGACTCAATATCGACCTTCACAACTTATGAGCTATTGTCTTATGATACCTTCATTTTCTACACTGTCCTAACAAGCATTATATCATTGGACAGAGTATCACTTAAACAAAAGGTGCTTCATAATGAATGCCTGTTTTTCGTTTGTTTCTTTTAACTGCCTTACATTATTGATGATTAATATGGCAGGTTGTGGATGCACCTGAAATCCTTACAGTGATTGGCAAGATACCACATCTATCTGAATTTCTTAACTCGCTCTATGGCTGCCAGTACAAGTCATTTTTTTCTGCATTCTGTAAGTGGACAATTGATAAAACATCTCCTTTTTTATGCAATCATAAATGACCTTATTTGTTTGCTTTGTATTTGCATAATCTTGTGTTTGTTATTTATTTTGTATCTAGTGGTATGCCATAATTTTTCAGCGGTAGTCATCCAAGTTCATTTCTTAGCATTGATGTTTAGACAGATTGATTAGTTATTTGCATGATCGTTTTTCTAGTTGCTTCAATTAAGTCTAATGGTGTTTCTAAGTGTGCAATATTTAGATCAATGTTTCAGATGTTGACAAATTTGGTGTCGATCAAAATTTAAATCTTTGTTCTTGATTGATTGACATTAATTTTCTTTTTGTCTTATTAAGTTGTTAAAGTGATAATGCTTATATTTTTCATTCAGTTATGTATCTTCCTACATTTGTTACTCATCCACCTCGGCCATTCCTGCATTATTTTCTTGCAATTTTTTGACCTATTTATTGCTTAGCTTAAGAATCTAATAGATGGAGCAAATTTTTATGATCATCTCAACTCCTATTTTTAAAGTACCATATGCTATTGAATTGCATCACTTGACAATTCTGCTCGGTTTCCTAACACTAGTAGCTTCACTTACTGTTAATAGTATATTATGGTTGTCGCCATGTTGCTATCAAAGTCACCTCATTTATATTCACATCAAGCTTTCGTAAATTTCGACTTGGAATTTTGGTGGCATATGTTTTCAAGCATTAGTGATGCTATAATCAAAATAATCAATAATGTGTTGCACAAAAATTACCCATTTGGAAAATGCATGTCATTGGCTAACAGGTGGTTGCCATCAGCCTAATCCTCTTTCCAAGAAAGTGTGTTAAGTGTCCATGGGTTTTTTGAGCAGAAATCTACCGCACTTTCTATTTGCTAGCATAACTTTTTTTAAATTGTGGTCTTTGCTGGATTTTGCTTTTCAGCTGGGCTGACTGAGCAAATAAAGTTAGATCGCTATCTACAACCTCATTTCCGGTTTTACATGAGGGAAGTTCGAACAGTTGTCTATTCCCAGTTCCTTGAATCATATAAGAGTGTGACTATGGAAGCAATGGCGACAGCTTTTGGAGTTTCTGTTGATTTTATTGATCTGTAAGTACTTCCACAAATCCTTGCTTATCAAAGTCTTTTAGGTTCCAAAAATCTTACGTTCTTGAATACTTTGTGTCATTGTTATATAGGAACTTACAATCCAATTTAGAGTGAGGTTCACCTTACTGATACTACATGGGATGATTTCTGATGCCTTCTCCTTTTGGCCTGTGGCTGGCAGTCAGCTTTCGAGTTAAATTAATTCTCTGGATTCGACTGAACACGGATCTATTACTTGTTTACTCATCTGCAGGGAATTATCTCGGTTCATAGCTGCTGGGAAGCTTCACTGCAAGATCGACAAGGTTGCCGGTGTTTTGGAGACGAACAGACCCGACGCAAAAAATGCACTTTACCAGGCAACCATCAAGCAAGGGGACTTCTTATTGAACCGAATCCAGAAGCTCTCTCGTGTGATAGACTTGTAATCGGATAATGTTTTCCTGTTCCCACTCGGAAACTTGTCTTCACGACTTCATCTACATCTTTGACAGCTTTTTGTAGTTGCAGCACTTTCATATTAGATTGCAACTCTTATTGATCCCTGTCCTCGAGAACTACTACTGTCTTCAAGCCTTTGCCTTGAGAAACTATATTCAGTAGTATTATTGGACTTATTTTTAATGGAATTGCTTTGACCTCCTAGTTTTATTGAAAGGTTGTTTTTCTCGTCGGAAAATACTTGGGAAGAAAGGTACATTAAATAACATGCCTGCGATGAGCTTCTGAGATATGTGGCCTTCCGCCTCGTGAAGAAATATGGATGTTCTAAAGTGGTGAGATCACATCCCACGCATTTAGATGTGGCCCCAGATTGGATATCAGCCGTCGAGCTTTCAAGAGAACGGGATCTACCGTGATATTTATTTCAATCGATGCTGCTGGTAAGAAATTGTAATTTTCCTTAGTTGCATCTTTCAGATTTCATTGGAAATTGTGTTTGCCATCTAATCGACTTAAATTAAATGGTCGGAAGCCGTAAATTTCTGATCCATTCATTACATGTGCCCCGAAATAACTGCAATATGATGATACGGTCAGCTTGTACTGGACGTTGCGTGTTGCCGACGAAGATAACGGGTTACCGGGCCAAAGTTCGCGGGTCGAACTGCACCCGAATCTGCTGTTCGAGATGAATGAATACGATGTGAAAGGCAACCGATTATTTCGAGAAAAAAAATATTACTTAATGTAACGGGTTACCGGGCCAGCGTCCGGTCTCGAGCTCAACCCGCATCCGCTGATCGCGATAAATGTCAAGTCAAAATGCAAGAATAAGATCTCGCTCGGCTCCTCCCCTCGGCCGCTGCTGCCCTAATCCCAAAGGCGGAAAAGAGAGAGGAACCATACGAGCGAAGACGAATACGAGAATTGACCGAACGGTGATTGTTGATTCTTGTATGGTTTTTCCTACTTTTGTTTCTGTTCCTGAAATTTCGAGACATATGAAAAAGGATTTCCGATTGTTCATTCGATCGCTTCCGTTTTCGTGGCAATTTCTTTGGTGTTTACTGTTGTGTGATTTTCCTTGGATGCTTCCTGTCGTCTGGATCGCGATCAGACCCACATCTTTCTCGAATACTCGGATCGGATGGCGAAATTGTGAGGAATAACCGAACACTTTTTAAGGAGTTTCTCCAATCTCGAAAACAGTGGGCGTGGTGCTGAATTTGAAGGTGCTGTTATTGCTTTGTTCCATTTACTCATAACTCGCACCGATAAAGTTCGAGCTCTTCGTGAGGCTTTCTACCGTCAGAATCTTCCAAATGTGACCAACTTGCTTGCCACAGTTCTGGTCTTCCTCATAGTTATCTATTTCCAAGGTTTCCGTGTTGTGTTGCCCGTTAGGTCAAAGAATGCTCGTGGGCAACAAGGCTCCTACCCTATTAAGTTGTTTTACACCTCTAATATGCCCATCATTCTGCAGTCAGCGCTTGTCTCTAACTTGTACTTCAAATTATTTATGATCAGAGGAGCGATTAATCGAATTATTACTATTATTATATGTAAATATCATATTATAAGAATTACGCTTAGAGGAGTGATTAATTGATTCATTATTATTATATGTACATATTATATTATAAGTATTAATTGAATCATTATTATTATATGTAAATATTATATTATAAGTTCAAAGATATCAAAAGATGATATTGATAACTCCTAGATTTACTTTAGTTATCGACGTTAGCATGCAAATTAATATTATCGATAATACAATTATCGATAATACAATTACTCATTTAGTGAATGAATCATCATTAAATCGAGATGGAAATTACGATTAAAGGAGGGATTAATCGAACCATTACTATTATTCATTGACACAAACGATTGTTATTAAGTTATTTATTTACTTTAATAAAAATATAATTATTAACTAAAGAACGTAAGGGAGTTATTTACTTTGTAAGGTCTTTTAAGATTATGGGACACCCGAGTCTCACGCTCCTACGACTCAGATCCGTTCGACTGGTGAATCGGTTTACAGAGTGGGCTGTACACGTTGGCCCGAGTTCACCGAGTCAACTCACTCCAAGCCTAGCGCAGAACACCAAAAGAAAAGAAACGCGGCGGCAAACCTACTTATTCGCGCCTGTTTACGCAACCCTAGTCGCCTCCGATCTTTTCCCTGGTGTTGCTTCTGTCCACTTGCCGCCGGCAATCTCTCTCAAGTCGAGCCTTCCAAATGTTAGACGTCTTCGTTTCGCTAATCGTAGCTTCTGCTTTTGCTGCTGCGTCCGGTGATATCTCTTAGTTTGGTCGTGGTCGTCCGGCCGCCTTCCTTCCGGTACTTGATCCTCCCCCCTCTCTTCCTCCCTTCTTGTTCTTTTCCTCCTTTGTCTTACACGACATTCAAGAAATGGTGGGTAGCGTCTCCTCCTTTCGACATTCTATCAATCGAAAAACCCGTGGAAGATCGTGTACGATGATTCAGGAAAAGAAATGCATCGTAACAAAGGTAAGGCAATTTCAACTATCATTGAATTGAATGATTGTTGTGCAACCTTTTCTCTCATGCTATTTTATAGTTTCTAGTATAATCTCATGTCCTCCAATTTTGCCTTCTTGTTTTATTTGACACTTAATGATAAGTTATTGCAGGATTTAGAATTGCATTTGATTTATCCCAACACCAAGTGAGACGACTAGAAATACTTCAATAAGATAAATTTATATGTTTTTACACACGTAAATATAAAAATTATGTGTGTAAACTTGCCTTTTAAAAAAATGAAAAAGGAAATATTTTCTTTGGTTTGGGCCAAGAAATAGGTACTTGCTAACTGCACATTGAGAACGGAAGTAATATGATTAGTTCGAACTCGAGCCCATGTCTGTCTCGGGCTCAAATGGTTCAATGTTAATGGGCTGGGCTCAATTTGGAATCAATTCGATATTAATAATAATGGTTCACTTTGGGTTGTCACATATATATTTAGTTGTATTATTATTAATAATTAAGCTTGATTGGAAATCCTAACGCCCTCACATCGACATAACATGTCCCTCTCATCGTACCTTTTCCTTGTTCTTTGAAATGGTCTATAAATTTGACCATCCCATCCTTGTCACCTACCGTTTTCTTAGACTACCTTGTACGCTATGGCTGTTGCCCCCCACTCCCCTCTCCTCCTCTAGATGGGACTGCCACAAATGACATTGTGTTGATAAGCAACTCCAAAAACAAAATAAATCAATAAATGTATATATGGAGGAGTTTTAATTAATTTTTTTTTTTATGGAACAGGATTTGCATTTAACTTTCTGAATGTGACCTCACCGATTAACAAAACCCAACCTCTGGCCTAAATGAACATTTATGGGAGCACACAGTAGGGCTTGACGGCAACAGACGAAGTCTAAGGACAGCTGCCAGCAATCCATGGGAGAAGCCATCACTTAACAGAGATGGATTATTGATCCGTCCTGATTCCTTTCGAGACTAATCCATTTCCGCAAACAGCTCCATCCCGTTGACTTTGACTCCGTTCCGGTAGTAGATTCTCGTGCGGTCGCTCGTCATATTTATATGCTATTTTCCGTCCGATAAAACGTGTAAGAGACGTGCGTAGAATCTTTGGACATTAAACAAGGACTATGGAATATCTTTATTATTATTATTTTATTATCAACCCGGAATTTAGTAAGGAATATTTCGAGTTGGACATTCTGACTTTGGTTTTTGTCTTCCGAAGGCTTAACTCGGACGAAAGCTCCTCTTTCCTACTTTTCTCTCCACTTGTGATGCCGAAGACGACTCATTCGATACTAAGTCGGTAAATATTAGATATTAAAAATATAATTGGTCTGGATCCGCTTGCCGCTGGACACTTGAGGATCCGACCCGACAAACACGATTACCATCAACGGCGGGCCCAGTTTTACCCAACAGGGCAAGCAAAGTCAACATTCCGCACAAGGAGGGAGGCGGTCAGCGTAGCGACCAAAGCAGTCAACACCCGGCGGGCCCCGCCTGACGCCCTCGAAAGTCTTCTTTAACTGCTCTCATCCTACCTAAAGCATCAGAATTGGAGAGGGATTCCGACGTGACCGACGACATCGATTTGCGTTCTGTTTTCCTTGGGACACACACCATCTTCCTCCAAATGCCATTTTTGTATAATAATTAATAGATATTTCATGCCATCGAATTTTTCCAATTTTTTTTAATTAAGACTCCGATGTCAAATGTAAAAATCACGAAACCGATATGAAACAAATCCTCTTTTCAGACAAACATGACAATACACGAAAAAAGAAATCAGATAGAACCCATTACGTCCGCACGATTGATGGTGAAAATTGATTCAATCACGATCAAAGTGTGATTCTGGATGATCTTTTCCTCCGCAGTCGTCGAGAAAACACGATTGGCATGGCGATGATTTCAACTTGTCGTATACCTATTGATTTGACCGCAACAAACCGAAACGATTTGAGTAAATGAGTTGGACCAAACGGAGTTAGGGCGGGGGGGCGATTAATTAACTGCCCGCCTCGGGTTGGATCGGGCCCCACCTGCAGCTCACCAATGTCACTCTCTCACCTACTCGTCTCCAACCCAACCCAACCCGACCCCTCCCCCTGCTTTTGCTTCCCAGGAGTCTCCTCGATCCCTCCTCCTCCTCCTCTCCCCTCCCATCCTTATTAATCCCCAACATCCGGGTCGGACGATAAGAAGAATCCTCTTCCTTCGAACGCAGGCGACTCGGAGCAGCTCCTCCCCCACCCTTTCTCCCCTCACTCCCCGTCGCCCACCGGGGGTCAAACCTCCCTCGGTAGCCCATACATAATTCAAAATAAGACCACTACTCTGTCGCTTCCTCCATTCCCTTTTGTTTATTTTGCTTGTATGACCCTCTCTCTTGGATCTGTGGGGCTCGGCAGCTGAATGATGGAGGGCGAGAGGGAGGCGGTAGAGCGCCGGGCCCTGCGTTCGCTGGGGCTCGGCTTCGACCTCACCAGCGACTTCCGCCTCCGCTTCGCCAAGGGGTACCCCCGCGGCCGCCTCGTGCAGCTCGACGAGGTCCACACCCGGGACATCGTCTTCCCCGGGGGCCAGGTCGTCCGCGGCGTGTCCGAGGACGTCGGCTGCGACAAGGGCGATCGGATGCGGTACCGCTCCGACGTCCTCGAGTTCAATCAGGTGAATCTCGGCTTCTATTATTGATTGTTGCCTCGTTTGTGGATGGCACTTTTGTTGTGTTCGATCAAAGATTCGCCGCTTGTTGACTGGGGGGAGTTTCCCGACCACGATGATCGGATAATTGGCTAGTATGGCGCTAATTGTCCGTTAAGTTGTCCAGTATGACGCTTGTGGAGAGGGAATCCAGAAAACTAATTGGTCCTTCTCTAGTAGTAAGAATTAAGGGGATGGCAAATGTTCTTTCTCGATTCAGATGTTAGGAGATATAAAGCAATAATTTAGAGTGGATTATGTATTTGAATTTGTGGGGTTCTCCTCTGGTCTTTTGTTGAAGGAAGAAATGGGCGAACGTCTGTTCATATGCAGAAACCCCATAGCAAATTGTCAATAACAGAAGATGTCATTCATCAACCTCAGTTTTGGCCCCTTCTGCAACACAATTCTTTCGATTGATATGGTCTCATCAACCTGGGGGCTACAAGCCTTGCCTCTAGGAGTGAAAGTGAGAGGGGCATGAAGGTGCTTTACCAATGATTAGAAACAAGATTTTAGAGAGGTTATTTTCCTGACAATCATGTAGGATAACTCACTCATGACAGATAGGACCTCATTATTTCTTTTACATGTACTTATGCTAGAATTAGGTCATTTTTCACCATTCCATATACATTTAAGATATCTTTTTGTTTCACCATTACAGTTATTTGCTTGTTGACAAAGGTTCTAGTTGGAACTATAAACTTTTCTACTCAGGACTCCCTGCAGGTCTCATCCTATATAAGCTGGTTCTTATATTTGTTTTAGGTGACAAAAGCATGAAATTCCTGCTGTACATGCAGACTTAGTCTATTATTGAATAGGTTGTTGGTGATCCTGAAGATATAGAGGAAATAAACAACTTATGGATGGAATACATTTCCACAAAGTTAAAACCATCTTAATTTGAGGAGGTAGACAATGATTATGGAAGAAAATGTGGTTTCTTGTATTTCGAAAGCTTAGAGTACTTAAGATGGGGCCTCCATTGGTCCCAGCCCTACGAGGTCAAGGGGCACTACCGGAAAGCATATTGTTTATTTCGGCTAAAACATATTGAGAATTTAATTCTTGTTTACAAGATATTTTCAGTTTTAATTGTGTTTCATACGTCTAAACTAGTCGGAATATTGTTAAAAAAAGGCTTCAATTTTACTAGAATGTGCATATAGTTTTATTTTGTTTAGTTTTCCAATCTGAAGTGTTTTAGATGAGTTACTTACTTTGAGATTAATTGTAAGAAGGGGAATAGGTTGATAGTTTGGATAGATTTTGATGAATGATGATCCTTTTTGCTTTATTTTTAAACAGTTATCATGGACTAAGAAATGAGGTGTAGGGAAGGTAATCGGGATTTATCTTTGATGACTCGTGAGCCTACTGGCACTTGAACAAGCATGCTTCCCAGAGGTTGATAACTTGATATTACATTTACTTTGTTTGCCATTGATGACTTTGGTGGTGCAGGGATAAATGGTATGATTGTCAATCAAGTTAACTCATAGTCTGTCCAGACTGCAGCTTTTCTAATTGTTGGTCTACAAACGTCTGGCGATTTCAAGTCTAGCACATCCATGTGATGTTTAAAAATTAATGCTAATATTCAATTTAACAGCGAATTTACGTCTTGCATGGCTGTGTGGTCCAAGCAATCAGTAATTAGTGAGACTTTCTTTAAGAAGAGTTTTATCTTGCATAGGCTTTTCTTTGCGAAGATTATCCGTGTGCTTTTTAGTTCGGATAATTTACCGGTATTTTGTCCTTGTTAACTGGTTTGCAGATCACCTATGTCATTATAGTTATATGATCAATGAAGAATTGAAGCCATATGCAGTTAATTATGTAATTGTGGTAAAGTCAATTTGATTTCCTGGCCATGTCAAGTAAGCATCTAGAACATGCAGTTCTATTTACTTAATCCCAGGCCAGAAACAATGACATCTTCTTCTCTGGAAAGAAAAAGACGTCATACTTATGACTGTCAAATCATTGCTGGTTTTTTATGTTTCATGGTAGTTGATTGGGTTAAAACAATTTGAAATTCTGATATACTACATTCTTTCATGGTCCATAAATAAGCAGCTGCCCTAGTGTCTTTTCTTTCAAGTCATCTAAATGCCGCCTTTTTATTTTATCACTCTTCTGCTTGACTGTTGATAACCGATATCTTTTCCTTATGGCAGATGTCTGAGTTACTCAATCAGAAATCTTCGGTCCAAGGAAAAGTACCTTCCGGTTATTTTAATGCTCTTTTTAATTTAACTGGAGCATGGTTGGATGATGCCAAGGACACAAAATATCTTGCTTTTGATGGATACTTCATTTCCTTGTACAATTTTCACCTAAGAGCTTCTCCTTTGGTTCTTCTTGAAGAGGTTAAAAGAGCAGTTCCATCGAAGTGGGATCCCACGGCCCTCTGTCAGTAAGTGCTAAACTGTTGGCATCTGTATACAACTATATGGCTAGTTTATTCTTTATACTGTCATTTAGGTTTATCTGATTTTGTATAATCAATAAGTTGAAATTGGTTGGCATTTATTCTGGCTTTCTTTCAAGGAGCTGAAGAAACATTTACGTTTTAACATATTTATCGATTAGTTGTGGAAACTTAAGATATATCCCACTTAACTTGTTGACTAGCAGCATCATTGGTGAGTAAGTGTCGCACCAAATTTAACATAGGCTTCCTCATCACAACAATGTATTAGTGTGATGAATAACATAGAGAGAGACTTTTTCATGAAATAATGGAGTTTATTCTTTTCTTTCAGTTTCATTAGGACCTATGGAACACATATAATTGTAGAAATGGCTATAGGGGGTCAGGATGTAATCTGTGTTAGGCAAAGTCCTTCTTCAACAATTTCATCTGCTGAGTTAAAGGTTCATCTCGAAGATCTTGGAGATTATTTATTTTCTGATGGAAATAGTCTTTCTCCTCTACATCGGAAGACCAGAGAAGGCAAGAACAAGGTATGTTTACTTACTAGCTTATATCTATGAAATGGTGTATTTAATTAATGTTTCGTTTAGTGTAGGTGCCTGAAGTCTTCATGAGAATCTTGCAATCCAACAACTTGCAACTGTCTAGCTATTCAGAAACTTCAAGCAAGGAAGTAAGGCCTGTACACATTATCCTCTATTGCTACTTGACTTTTATGTTACTGAACCAGATATATTTATTTAATAAAAACAGGGACTCACAATCATTTGCTCAAAAAGAGGAGGTGATGCATGTGTGTTAAATCACTCTACTTGGTTACAAACAGTACAAAATAACCCTGATGCAATAATGTTCAAGTTTGTTCCCATCACATCTCTTCTAACTGGCGTTCCAGGCAGTGGATATCTCAGCCATGCTATGAATCTATATCTTCGCTGTAAGTTCACATACACAAAATTTGTTGCTAGAATCATCTGCTTGATAATTTCTATTTAGGGTGCAGATTTGTATTCTCTGCTGTAACTGTGGAACTAGTCTGGTTTAAGAATGCCAATCCAGCATACAGCGTATGACCTGCAAATCCAACATCACTATGTCATGCAGATTATAATTGCTTTAAACATACCCATGAAAAAGTATCATATTGTGCAGCTATTCCTCCTAATTCCATTATCATGGTCCCTTAAAATGTTAGCATCATGGTGTTTATTGGCTTTCACGGGTATATATATGCAATCTTGAAGTCTGAAATAACTCATGAAAAGGATGCATATGCAACGTTTTAAACTTTTCAAGGGAAATGTACACTGTCCAAAACTTTGCAGGGTAACCATGCATTTCACCAAAAACATTTAAAAATGAAAAAAAAAGAACCAATTCAATACTTTACTGTGGCATGCATGCTGTCAACCGTTTCACGGGTATATGTGCAATCTTGCATTAGTGCAATAAACCACAGATAGCTATATAGGCCCTTTGTGTACAATGCCTTTCAATCGTTTCTGTTTAACAGATAAACCTGATCCTGAAGATTTACAGTATTTCTTGGAATTTCAAGTCCCCAATCAGTGGGCACCGATGTTCAATGAACTAGCTCTGGGACCACAAAGAAGAAAAGTCTCCTACCCCCGGATGCAATTTAGATTTTTGGGACCAAAGCTACATGTTAACACTGATCAGGTACGACTACTGTGTTTATGTTTTACTTAACTTTTTCCATGTTCCATAATCTCATTCAGGTCTTGGTAACACACAAGATCTTTCATTGCTGTTTTTTGGGTAATTTTCCTGGTATGCTATCTTATAGTTATTGTATTTTGGGTATCTTTCCTAACCACTCTAGTGGGTCAACGCCATTTTTGTTATAGGGGGGTGCAAGTAACATTGGAACAATTTGTGAAGCCAAATAAATTCAATGCTTCATACAACAGCAACTTTGGAAAAGCAAACGAAGTTAAGGCCAACACCGAAAAGCTAGGTTTAAGGGTGCAACATTTTTTTGCATTATTACCAAGTGAATGCATCTAGTTATGAATATAACCAAGAGAAACAATAGTTTCATTTCCCTGTGGTGCCATTCATGGTTTCCAGATGCTTACCTTTTTCATACATTTCAAGTAGCGATGCCCTTGCCAGAATAGCAAACTGCCTAATTCTTCCTGGGTGTCTCATGTTATTCCTTTACCCAGTTAATTTGGTTGTAGGCTGCTCCAAGATATGCAGGTCTCGTGGAGCCATGGTTAGTTACAGTAACTGTTCTTGTTCTTTTGATTCATGAAATAGTGGATAGTGCTTGAATTCATCGTTATGATTAAGGAAACACATCAAAGCTTGCTGGGATTAGGAATTTATTTGCCTTTTATTCTTGATTTAATTCAAATGGAATTTAAATATTACAGATATATAAATCAATTTGTTCTTTCTAAAAGAACTGTTATATAAAATGAGAATAGGTGTAGGGTTTTATATCTAATGGATCCATACCATTCCCTTCTCGGACCGGTAAGGATCCATACCATTACCAAGAAGTGATGATAGCATATATCAAAAAGGAAAAAAACAAGAAAGACAACTAATGAATGCCAGGAAAATAGCTTAGGAATAGAAGAGTGTCTCTAACTCCCCCTCCATTATTTTGACATCCTTGGATTTCAAAAGGAGATCTTAGCTTGCAACTTTATTGCATCAGAATTGAGCCACCCATCGACTTACCAAGCCAGGCAGTTCTTTTCTGTGACAGTTTTCTTGGTTCATTTCAGTTTTGATGCCAAACATGGTATATGACAGATCAATGAGGAGCAGTGTGCCCCCAGTGAACAAGCAATTTGCTTCCTGGACCTTGCTCCGACCCATATGTATTGCTTGTATTGATAATTACTGAATATTATAGTCTTGCATAGTGCTGGCAAGCCAAATTATTTTTGTCAATTATTGAGTGATAACTTGATCTGATCGACCCATCAATTCTTTGATTTACGGACTGTAAGGCCTGTTCAACCATTTTAGTACAGATGCTGGTGGCAACATGTGGATGCAAGTTAAGTGGCATCTCTGCAATTGGCACTTAGTCATAGACTCATTAATCTGATACGTTTTGTTATTTGGAAGGCCATATTGAACAGCAATTTTGTTGGTTGTCCTGGTTTTCTTCCCTTGATGTTCTGCATGGAAAATAGCCACTATAATTCAAGTGGTCAGAGATGCCTACACATGGGGGCAACTGGTGTTATTGAAGGTGCATTAGGTGCACTAAGGCATGAAGCAAGGTGAGGCAGAAGTTTTGAGGCTTGCCATAGCTGATGCAAGAACCTTAACAAAGGCATGCCTATGGGTTGAATCCTTGTGAGTCTCGATTGAATGAAGAGGCACCGGAAAGTTACATATTATTTTTTCGTACTTCTTTTCTTATTCTCTTATTCAACCATTGGATGGGTTAATCAAATGTGGGGTTACTTTAGGAAAAAAAAAGGAATAACAAGGTACCCTTGTGAGACATTTCGGCAAGTGAACAGGCTAATGTGTGGCTTGGGCTCCGTTTAAAATGAGACTGCTTTTCTCCTTTCCTTGGTGCTTCAGAGCTGGCAGTTGTTTTTGCTTTGTTTTTCTATTTCATAGCTATTGTTTATGCAAATATAGTGGTAAATTTGTTTGCTGATAATTAATTTTTTTGTGAACTGTACTGTTGCCTCTAATTTAACAGTGTAATTGCTTTATTAATTGAACTGATAAGCTAACATATTATCAGTACTTTAGTTACCTGACATTTATATAATATGCATTTCTTGATCGACCATTTTTTCCAGTTTTATGATTCATTTATAAATTTTCATGAACCATGATAATGCTTAATCTCCAGTAGTTAGTGGCACCTCAATAGTTCTTAAGCCTTTCACAACAGTGCAGTGTACTGTCCACCCGGCTACCCAGTGATAAATGACTTTCGTGTTTAAAACAATATCCATCTTTACATGGAATACAGTATTGAAATAATATGTACCATATAATTTTGATCTGTCAGAACATAATTTAATGGTAATTAAAGAATGTTGCAAAAAACAACCTATCATTTATACTTGCTATTCTTTTATGCAAGTATCCTGCCTCAGTGTATCTATTTGCAGTCTTTCTTCTGGCCTCTGAGCTGACACATAAGAGCATAAAAAATTGCTAGTTGCTCTCATTTTCTGCAGCTAGAAAACACAATTGAATTCATAAATTCCATGTTTGTTTGGAATTTGAAGGCACCCAAGAACTTTCTGTTTTAATTTTACTTTTTCGTTTATTGTTGTTCCCATGGTTTCAGGTCTTGAGCAGTCAGAAGCCTGTGATTGGCCTGCGGTTGTACTTGGAGGGACCGAGGTGCAATCGGTTAGCCATACATGTGCAACACCTTTCAAGTCTCCCCAGCATGTTCAGGAACTCTAGTTCATCCGAAATGTCAGCGTGGCAAGGATCAGAAGACTCCGATGCAGGATACTTTGAACCTATCCAGTGGAAGAGATACTCAGCTGTATGCACATCAGTTGTGGAGCACAATCCTGAGTGGCTCCAGAGAGTATCTAATGGTGTGTTTGTGGTAACTGGTGCTCAGCTTGTCACCAAAGGGAATTGGCCGAAGAAAGTGCTTCATCTTCGTCTCCTCTTTACACACATTCCAAACTGCACAATCCGAAGGACCGAGTGGGCTGGTGCACCAGCCACTTCTCAGAAAGGAAGCTTCCTAACAAATTTAAGTACAACGTTTAGCACACCATTTACCCAGAGAGATGTGCCACCACCAGCGAAGAATGAGCCTGCACAGCTGAATTCAGGTGTGTATCCCGATGGTCCACCTGTGCCGGTTCAGTCAAGGAAGCTCTTAAAGTTTGTGGATATGGTCGAGGTGGTCCGTGGTCCACACAATGTGCCAGGACATTGGCTTGTGACAGCGGCTAAGATTGTCAAAGAAGGGGGAAAGATCGGATTGCATGTAAAGTTTGCTCTGTTGAATTATTCAGCTGAGGCTGGGTTGATCGACTAATGTCCATATAGGATTTCTCTCCTGTCCTGTAGATTTCGGAGTTCTGATTGCAGGATCAGGCTAATTTTGTGCATTATTTTTTTATTTATTTTGGTTTAGTTATTACAACTGTACAGATGATAGTAATAATCTGCATGTAATTTTGACATATGGCTCGGATTTGGATCTTAATTTAGTATTTCGAAATTTCAAATCGTTATCTACGGGATAAGTATTTTTTTAAACTGAGCTGAGAGCTAACTTTGATGTTTTGAAATGTTTTAACGGCTTTCAAGAGGAATAATGGATCAATATATTTCATTGTGTTCCTATGTGACTCTGCTCTTCGGTCATCATCAATTCGGTGTCCTTCTAGGAGGGAGATGGTTGTGTCGCTACAGCCACCATATTAATCTACAATTTAGCTGATTAGATCCGCCTATGTTCGCTGTGGCCATCGAGCACATCCATGGTGAAGTATCTTCCTACCATACTCTCGTTATTGTTGTCATCCTCAACCTGCTCTCCGCCATTGAGTTTGTCATGGTGGAGGACAGCCTCTCCAAAATGACCGAGAAAGCCATGGTCGCATGCTTTCCATTCGTGACCAGAACGTCGCCAA